GGCCACCATTCGGGTGTAGGTGGCACCTGAATTTTTGAGGCCGAAGGCCATCACAAGATAGCAGAAGATGCCTTCGGGTGTCATGAAGGCAGTTTTTTCAGCGTCTTCCTCGTGCATGTAGATTTGATGATATCCGCGGAATGCGTCGAGGAATGACATAATCTCGCATCCCGCGGTCTCATCCACAAGTTGATCAATGTTCGGCAGAGGGAAGGGGTCCATAGGGCATGCCTTATTCAGGTCTGTGTAGTCCACGCACATGCGGAAGGTAGGAGGCTTCTGTGCGAGGACTACATTAGCCAACCAGGAAGGGTATTTCACCTCCTTAATGTGTTTGATGGAGAGGAGCATAGATACCTCTTTCTTTACGAACTCCCTTCTCTCGGCCGAGAGGGGTCTTCTTCGCTGTTGCACAGGTTTGGCCGAAGGGTCCACCGCAAGGCGGTGGGTGATGACCCTCCGGTCAATTCCCGGCATATCCTCCGGCCCCCATGCAAAAACAATGGAGTATGCGCGGAGGGCCATGGTGATGCCAGCCTTCAAGTCTCCGGGGAGCTTGGCTCCAATCTTCAGGACTCTCTCCGGCTTGGCCGGATCGAGTATCAGGTCTTCAGTCTCCTCGGCAGGCTCAGCCCTCGGCCTACTTTCTTCCTCCTCCAAGGCCTTAGTGGTGATGGTGTCAACGCGAAACTCGGTTTTACTAACCTTCTTGGTGAGTTGAAGGTAGCAGGACCTGGAGAGCTTCTGATTCCCCCTTGAGTAGCCGATGCCGGTGGGTGTGGGGAATTTGAGACAGAGGTGCCTCATAGAGATGACGGACTCCAAGTCCTCGAGGGCAGGCCGGCCGAGGATGATGTTGTGCGCGCAGTCAAGGTTGACGACGACGAATTCCACTTCGAGCTTGGCTCTATGGGATCCGTCGCCGAATTCAACCATGAGGGTGATGACGCCCTCGGCGTCTATGCTGTCCCCCGTAAATCCGGAGAGGGGGGTGTTGATGTGTCGAAGGGACCCCCTGTCGAGTCCCAACTCTTGGAAAGTGCTGAGATACATGACGTTGACAGAACTCCCCGTGTCGACATAAGTCCGGTGGATGATGGCGTCATTGATCTCAGTGCGGATGACGAGGGCATCCCTATGTGGCAGAGAACCCGAGGGGAGGTCCGCATCTGTAAAGAAGATTGGATCCGCCCTCGGCCTTTTAGTAGGGGGCATGTGGTTGACTTCCCCAACGTAAAGGGATTGAGCCCACTTCTTTCGCTGGCTGGTGGAGTCTCCACCAGTGTTGCCACCATTAATCATGTGGACGTGGCGCTTGTATTGTTGATGGGAGCCTTCCCCCTCATCTTCGAGGCCCCCAATTTCTCGCTTCTTCCCCTGCGGGTTCCCCAAGGGGATGGTGTTGGGGTTCACCCACTTGTTTGCCTTTGGTGGCGGCCCTTGATGGTGAAGGAGGCCCTGGGGAGAAGGGCCCCTGATAAATTGAGACAAGTGGCCCGCCTGTATCAGCCTCTCGATGGCGTTCTTCAGCTGATGGCAGTCGTCGGTCTTGTGTCCATGGTGTCGGTGGAAGCGGCAATAGGGCTCATCGGGGCCGATGGCATAAATTTCGAGGGGTGTCCGGGAGTCTCGCTCCACGAGCCCTCGCTCTTCTGCATGATCGAGAATGACGCTGACAGGATGCGTCAAGGGAGTGCGTGGGTGCTCAAGGAGGACGGGTTGCGCCCATGCCTTCGGGTTGTTTTTGTAACTGCCCCCGGGTCTGGCTTGGCCACCTCGGGAGCGATCATTGTAATGGGGCTCTCGGTTGGCCGGAGGGGGAGGCCCTCCGGGCCGATTCCTGCCCTCATTCTTCTGAGAAGGATCCGTGTTGCGGCGGTCCTTCTCGATCTCCTCCGCTTCGGCATATCGGTCCCCCCGCTGAAGGGCCTTTGTATAATCGCGGGGGGGATCAGTGATAAGGCTCCGGGAGAAGTTACCGTTGCGGAGGACGGTGTGGAAGAGGGCCATCAGGGTTCTGTCATCAGCACCCTCGACCTCGAGGGAGGCCTGCCTCCAGCGTTCCAGGAAACTCCGAAGGGTTTCCTCCTTCTGTTGCCTCACATTCAGAAGATGGGAGAAGTGTTTCTTTGAGCGGTGCCTCCCGGCAAACTGCGTGAGGAAGCGGTGGGCAAGTTCTTGCCAAGAATCAATGCTGCCTTCGGGCAACCGGTTGAACCACTCATATGCTGGTCCCTCCAGTGTGGAAAGGAACCAACGGCATAAGTATTCATCCGAGGCCCCCATCATCATCATGCTATTTTGATAGCGGCTGTAGTGTTCTTGGGGATCCGTCTTCCCCTCATACGGTTTGATAGGTTGCCCCCGGTATTTATGGGGGATTTTGGCCGCCAACACCCTCGGTGTGAAGGGTGTTCTAGTGCGGAGTTGGATGAGGGGCTCGCCGGAGCCTTCGGCGAGCTTACGTTTCATCTCCTCCACTTGCGCCCGGAGGTCAGCGTACTCTGGGTCTGGCCTTGCTGTGGAAGCCGTCGGGGGAGCCTGACGATTCTCCTCAAGTTGACGGAGGAGGGCTTCGATGATTTCGTCCTTAGGATCCTTCGGGGCCACCCCTTGGGAGTTGGCCCGGATGGATTGCGCCTGATTGATCTGGTGTCTGGCGTCATCGGCGTGGAGGAGGGCTTTGCCCTTGCTCCTGGGTGGAGGTATGCCCTCGGCTCCCGAAGCGGAGGCTCCCCCAAGCCTCTCAAGTGCAGAGGTCCGGGGTTTTTCCTTCATCAAGGGACGTTTATCCCTGGATTGGGCCTCTTGGGAGGCGGTGTCCTGCGCCATGACCCCTTCGGCGTTCCCAATCCCCGGGGGAGGATTGTTGAACAGAGGAGGGAGCGGTGGTAATTGGATAACATTCCCTCCAGCGTAGGGCTGGAGGGGTGCCTGAGAGGCGAGGGCTCCGGAATTGAGAGCCATGTTCTGAACAAAGGCCGCAAAGGCAGCCTGAAGATCGATGGCCGGGGCCGGAGGGGGAACTTGGTTCTCACTCCGATCCCTCCTTCGATTATCAAGGCCAATGCGGGCATCAGGGGTGTTCTTCTGCAGCTGTTGACGTAGGTCAGCGGTGGCTTGCTCTAATTCGAGGATGACACCACCCTCGGGTACTAAGAGCCTGTTGGAGGCCTCAGCCCCGTTAGTTTCGCCGGGGGCTACGTAGTTTTCCTCAAGGGTCTTGGATTGGGCACGGGTGGTTCTTCCCATTTTTGGTGAGTGTTAGTGTTTGGTAGAGGGGGAGGGTTTCTTACTTGATTTGTTCTGAGCCTCTCAACGAGAGCACCAAATGATGGAAAGTCTACCCGGGGGGTATCTTATCCGAGGGGTTATTGCGGGAATAACTAGAGAGAAGTCAGAGTAAATAGGAGGAGAGAGAGTCGATTTTATTAAATGAACTCAGCGTGTGGAGTTGGGATGTAGGTTGTGATTTACAAGGAGAAATGGGCCGCTATTTATAGCAGCAATAAATGCGATGAGAGGACACGTGTCAGTAATCCAACGGCCGAAGGGTCACATCAGCCTGGTGGCACCGGCAGTGGTACGTCAACCGCATTGAATGCGGTTGGCGGATGCGACGTGGCATTAAATGCGGTGGTTGGCTGTCTCTAAAAGGAATCTTCGATGATTGAGCTAGTTCAGCCGAAGGCTCCCGGTGTAGCCGAGGGCTCCATGTGGTGAGGACCCTCGTACGGCCGAAGGCCCCGTGTGACCGAAGGCGTAACAATGCCGAGGGCATAACAATGCCGAAGGCTCATGTTTTCACCCGTTTTCTCCCAGTAGCTTCCTATGCCGAAAAGGCTATGCTGTGAGTTCTGGAGCCTTCGGCCAAGGAGGCCGAAGGCACCCCAGTGTGTATTCTGGGCCACTTTGAGGCTTGGGCCGTCGTATTTGGGCCTGAGTTGTTTCCTGAGCTCAATGGACTAGTGTAGGAGAAATAGGAGTCTATGGGCCGGGGGTTCCTGGGCCATATACTCCATCAGGAGGATATCCTATTTATAGGAAGGGTAGTTAATGCTTTCATGATGGTTTTGTACGTTACTGACAGGTTGAATATTCGACTGTATCAACCCTGTCAACCGTCTATTTTGTCAAATGCACCAATGTAATGTCTTCATTCACTTCAAGACCCGACACATCCCTAAAACCAGTCAGATCATCGGCCTACGTGTTCTCTTCCCTAAAGACTCATTGGATGGTACATTCGTCGAATCAAGCCGTCACGATTTTGACTATGTCAAGGTTAGCATCATTTTTGGACTCTTTGTTGCATATACACGATAAGTGTGATTCATAATTAAAAAAAAAAAGAGATGTTACTTACCTGGAGTAATTTTCACCCTCAACTCTTTGACCATAACGAGACTCGTAATGAGCTCTTCATATTCGACTTCGGTATTTGTGGTTTTTGAATTACATTGAGTTGTTCGTGAACTATTGCACCCTTGTGGCGATTTTCGAAAGATTTCTGATTTGAGTAGAAACTTACTGATTCCTTTGCTTCCAAAAATGCGCCTAAATATCCAACCACAAAGGAAACTTTAGAGGTATATTTCGATGAAACCATCACGTCGTCTGCGTACACTTCTGCGGTTCTCCCGATTTGATTTTTGAACACCATCGTCACTAGCCATCAAAAGTTGCCCCTGCATTCTTAAGCCCATAAGGTGTTGTTGAGTTTAATGAGACGCAACCAGCGGTGTAGGTTGATATATGATCAGTCGACAAGACGATATGTTTCGTTTCTTCCTTCATAGTTATTGATTCCCTCTTGAATCCTGCCATTGACGTTGAGCTATGACCTTCCATGGATGATAGTTTTTCTTGCACGAGGCCCCACGGTGGGCGCCAAATTGTTTTAACAAAATTTTGACAAGCTAAAACTAATTAAAAAACAGAATTATATGTAGATAGGGTCTCGTACAAGAACAATGAAGAAGATGACAAGTGAGCAAATAAGAGTGAAATTCAGTGTATTATATTATTCGAATGTGTAGTTGCTGATTACAATGGAGGATGTCCTATTTATAGGAAGGGTAGTTAATGCTCTCATGATGGTTTTGTCCGTTACTCGCGGGTTGACCATCCGTTATGACGATTTCGAGTCTGTCATAAAAATTGGTCAATTGTCATTAATACCTTTCTTAATCACATTAAAGAACCTAATAATGTACAGAAAACGTTACAATAGCTAAGATTGATGTTTGAGGACGCTCCATTAACTCTTGTAGTCAACTCTCTTACATGCAACATAAACCGTCAAATTTTTGCTCTAACTCTCTAGGCCCTTGTCCTTTCTTGTTCCAGCCCATAGGCTCCCAACTTAGTGATAATCGCCCGTAGCCACTATCTAGCAAGAGAGAGACACTATTAGGTGCTCATCACCAAACGTCCAAACTCTCCACCGTCTGGTGAGCTGATGCAGATCTCTTCGCCGCAATACCACCTCTCACCTGTTGTTCTCCGTTTCTCTTTATCATCCCTTCTATCTTCGTTTTGTGTCTGGTTAGAAACCTTACAACCTTTGTCTCACATATTCTAATACTCCGTATTTCTAAAAAGATTGGTTCCTCTATATATTTAACTTCTTTCCTCTCTATATGAATCCCTATTTTCTGTTTTCCTTCATTTTTTAGTTTGGGTTTCTCGTAAAGAGCGGAGATGATTAATTTCCCCCATTTCCAAGCTTGACTTGAATTTCAATATGGAATGAATATGTATTAATGGTCAGGGGCTGGTGAGTCAACTTTCGTTTTAGAGTTCGAGCTTCAATTTTTATGGTTCAATTTGAGCCATATAAAAAATCTCATCATTTTTTACATTGATTGAACAAGGTTAAAATGTGTTCTTGTTGGAATTCGTTTATACGGTGGCCTATCTTTTTTTATATGAGTGGGGTGGAAGACAAAAGCAGAAAGGGACAAAAAAAGGTTGGTTTGCGGTGAGGAGGATGGGTGAAAGAAGAAACCAGCAATAGGGCTGTTAACGAGCCGAACCGAGCCCGAACACCCAAAGCTCGAATTCGGCTCGTTAAGGAATAAGGGGTGTTCGGGTTCGAGCTCGAAGCTCGGCGAGCTTTACAAATGAGGCTCGTGTTCGGCTCGATAGGCGTTCGATGTTCGAACCGAGCGCTCGATAAGCTCGATAAATATGCCCGAATTTAAAATTTTAGATGATGCTCGTTAATAGGCTCGTGCTCGAATGGTTCGACAAGTATTCAGTTCATTAATAATCATATTTAAATTCATAAAACCATACTAATTATATTTAAATTTTGACATATATAAAATTATTTTTAAAATTTTAGGGTGTTCGATAGGCTCGAGTTCGAACCGAGCCGAAAACTACTATGTTCGAGCTCGGCTCGATTAATTTTTCGAACTTAAAACTCAGCTCGAGTTCGAGTTCGAAGCTCTTTAAGCTCGGCTCGTTAGGTTCGAAAACGAGCTCGAGCTCGAATAGTTTGATAAAAGCTCGGTTCGTTAACGGCCCTAACCAGCACTAGAGAAGAAGGGATAGAGATGAGGCGGAACAACAAAGAAGAATGGATAGAGATTAGCATATACTTCCTTTAAGTCCTTTTGAAGTGACGACGCCGGTATCCTTTCAAAAACTGGGATGTCATACCTACCATACATCAGATTGGTCCAAATCATTCTATTCCTTTTAATTTAAATTTAATTAATTCAACTTCATCATTCCTATTGGTCCATGTGGACAAAGATATGGTACCTTAAGGGTACCATAGAATCTACTCCTTTTTAATTGCAACAGTAAATATTTCACGTTTGCCAACGCACAAGTTTGACTATTAATATCTTTCATCCCTTATTAGTAAAAAAAATTAAAAAATTCATATTTTGAAAATTTAGAATGAGAAGAATTTAACAATATTTTTTAAAAATTTAATTTATAATGCATTAATTAATAAAATATAGTCGAAGTAGAATATGTGAATAGCGCAAAAAGTCCAATGTTGCAATTAAAAGAGAACAGATGTAGTATTTAATTAACATGTGTGTATATTTAGGGGTGGGCGCGGTCTGGAACAGTTCGGTAATTAGCAAAACCTGTAATGTATCTGTGATGTTTCTATCGGTTCGGTACGGTCCGGTTCTAAGAATAGAACCATTCGGTACCATGTCGTTTCGGAACGGCACAAAACAGTTCAGTACAATGCCAAACACATGCCGAAACATTTGAACAAATTTTGCTATTAGTAGATATCATCACACGAGCCAATTGACGTGAAAATTTGATGAGAATATAAGAAAGTGCATACTAAATACTAGAAAAGATTCAACAGGTTGACACTTATGTATTTAAATTTAAAAAGACTCAAACCGTGAAAGAAATTTAGTAAAAATATAGCAAAATGCAATATACAATCGTATAATATCATCTGTATTAAGTTCACGAGAACATATAAAAGGAATATCGTTAAATTATTGAACATAATACAAACATTTAATGTTTTTCTTTGTTCTAAGTTGAATATTAATTCTAATATAGTTCATAGTCGAGGCGTAAGAGCTATGATTCAAACCATATTAATTAAGTTATAAAACTACACAAATATGATACAACAAAAGTCATATACACTACATTACTACAAATTAATAGTCTTTAATGTTGATGGATAGTCTACCCGGGGGGTATCTTATCCGAGGGGTTATTGCGGGAATAACTAGAGAGAAGTCAGAGCAAAATAGGAGGAGAGAGAGTCGATTTATTAAATGAACTCAGCGTGTGGAGTTGGGATGTAGGTTGTGTTTTACAAGGAGAAATGGGCTGCTATTTATAGCAGCAATAAATGCGATGAGAGGACACGTGTCAGTAATCCAACGGCCGAAGGGTCACATCAGCCTAGTGGCACCGGCAGTGGTACGTCAACCGCATTGAATGCGGTTGGCGGATGCGACGTGGCATTAAATGCGGTGGTTGGCTGTCTCTAAAAGGAATCTTCGATGATTGAGCTCGTTCAGCCGAAGGCTCCTCGTGTAGCCGAAGGCTCCTCGTGTAGCCGAGGGCTCCTTGTGTAGCCGGGGGCTCCTCGTGTAGCCGAAGGCTTGGTTCAGCCGAAGGCTTCCCCTGGTGCTGAGGGCATGAGAATGCTGAAGGCTCACGTCTCCGCCTGTTTTCTCCCAGCAGCTTCTTATGCCAGAGAAGGCTATCCTGTGAGTTTTGAAGCCTTCGGCCAAGGAGGCCGAAGGCACCCCAGTGTGTATTCTGGGCCACTTTGAGGCTTGGGCCGTTGTATTTGGGCCTGAGTTGTTTCCTGAGTTCAATGGACTTGTGTAGGAGGAATAGGAGTCTATGGGCCGGGGGTTCCTGGGCCATATACTCCATCAAATGTTTTTTAACTTTGGCATTCTTTCATTATATACCAAATACTTCGTATAACATAAATTAATATCTAAAAGGAAAAAGTAATAATATTTATATAACACACACGTAGCTATTTTAAGAATGCATGAATACATACTTGGGTTATAAAATTGTTGGTCAATAAAAGATATTTATGGGTATGGAATAATATAGGCTAAAGGGTCAAATAGGCCCTTGAACTGACTTAAAGTGATCAATTAGCCCCTTATATAGGAGGTTCTGTCCGGCCGTCGCTAATTGGGGCGGTTCCTGGTAGAATTTTTTTAAGAAATTTTTTTAGCATCTTGTTCATTAAGTCTAGTTTACCCATACCAAATTTCAGCTAAAAATTCAACCGGGAAGGCAGTCAAATGATTTTCCGAAATGTATTGCGCTGTGTAACTTCGCAGTTATCTTCAAAAAATCATTTGACTGCCTTCCCGGTTGAATTTTTAGCTAAAATTTGCTATGAGTAAACTAGACTTAATGAAGAAAATGCTCAAAAAATTTCATCAAAAAATTCCACCGGGAACCGCCCCAATTGACAACGGCCGGGCAAAACCTCCTATATAAGGGGCTAATTGAACACTTTAAATCAGTTCAAGGGCCTATTTGACCCTTTAGCCAATAATATAAAAAAATCTCAAAGACATTATTTTTGAACGGTTCGGTCCGGTATTTTTCGGTTTTCAAAATCTAGGACCGGTCTCGTACCCGTTTGAAACGGTACAATTTCGGTTCGGGATAAAATTTTATAGAATCATTTAAATACCCGATATTCGGTTCGGTACCATTACGGGCCGGTTCGGTACCGGTTCGGTCCGGTTTTTATGCCCACCCCTATGTATATTATTACTACTCCGTACTATGCCGGACGGTGGAGAGTTTGGTAATGAGCTATCAAAATATATACTATCATCCGTTCTTTAATTCTTGCGACTTTCACGTTTACCAACGCACAATTTTCACTGCAATTATATTTAATTATGTATTAGCAAACATTATAAAAAGTAGATATTGTGGAAATTCACATTGATGGGAATTCAATAACATTTTATACATAATAATTTGATTATGTATATTAGTAGGAAATCGTGGTCAAAGTAAGGTATGCGAATAGTTCAAAAGGTACAATGTTGCAAGAATTAACTAATTGATGAAGTATATATGGGCTGCACTTTGAAGGCATAGCCAGCTTTTAATAGTTATTATTGAGTTATTACTACTATTAGGGAAAATCGCACTTTTAGTCCCTCAAATAGTCATGAATATGAAATGCCAAACCCATATTTCTAATATTGTAAATGTCACCCCCCAATTGTCCAAATTGTTGTAAATGTGGTCCTTTAAGGGGTGAAATATACTCGCGCCCATATTGTATATTTGACCTCTCAAAGGGCCACATTTACAACATTTAGGACAATTGAGAGACAACATTTACAAAATTGGTAACACGGGTCTAACATTTCATTTCCGTGACTATTTCAAGGACTAAAAGTGCGATATTCCCTAACTATTACTATTACTATTACTATTAATATTATCACTATTATTAATCGAATATATTTGAGTAACATTCGAATCGAATATACTGATATTCGTATTTGTATTTGATAACAATTCGAATCAAATTTAGTATTCATATTTGTATTTGTATTTGAAATTTTAGAATTCGAATCGTCTTATACGAATTCGAATCCCGAAGCGAGCATAAATTATTTGATTCGTATACAACCCTAATTGAGAATTGATTAAAAAATACAAAATATGTATTAAAAAAGAGAAATATAGGGAACTAAAAAATCATTGAGCAGACAACCTATGTACTGAAATTTGTCCTGATGATTTGGGATGATTTTACTTTGTAATTTATCGAACAGACCAGATCAAACTTAAATAGTTATAAAAATACAAAGAAATTAGATCAGACCGGTGGTCAAAACTCAAAAGTAAAAACAGATTGACCGTATAACCGGACAGTACAAGTCTGGGAGCAGATTGACCGCGACTTCAGTTGGGACTGATGGACCTCCTTTTTCATTTTCAACGACTTTTCAACGACTTCTTAGAAAGACGGTCGATAACAGCTACCTTCAGCTGTTTGAACTTTGCAAGAATCAGGAAAGACAAGCATTGAGAGATGGATCAAAGTGAGATCACTCGTAAGAAAAAAATACACTAATCACGTGGGGGAAAGGCGATAAGATTCTTCATCACTATTAAATAACAACGCTTGATTATGATCTACGTGCGAATAATATACACTTTCTGGTCTGATTTGAGGCATCCGATTCCCCAGCAATTTGTAGTCCTTTCAAGTGAGAAGCAGCCAGTTCATCTCTCTCTCTCTCTCTCTAACGCACGCTCTCTGTAATCACCGGTTAAATCTCATTCCATATTCTTCTTTCCTTAGCCAACCATTGAGATTCTCCATCGCTGCTATTTCAAGCGATGAAGTGATTGTGAGTTCCATCTGGGGCATACTTGCTGCAAACCGAACCAGGTTATACTCTGTTCTTCCTTCATTTTCTCCACATGCTTGCCCAGGCTTAGACATTTTTTAGCTCAGTTATGGAGATTATCAACATAAAAGAAAATTTGTAGTTTCCTGGCCGCAAATTATAACTTGGGGCTAGGTGGAAGTTCTTCCTAAGTTATACGTACTACAAGACTACAAGTATGCCTTATACCAGCGGACTTTCGGAAGTCATTCATATTTCACTTCATGGGGTGTTTGGGTGGGTGCATGAGTACTTCTTGGTGTTCCAAAACGCTTCTAGAAGCAGTTTTTTAGATGTTGGGGCCTGAGGGAGACCCGCTTTTGGAAAACTGTTCTGATTCTATTTCTGCTATTAAAAAAGAAGCAGAAACAGAATCAATTCCAAACGCCTCATATGTTTATCTTTCAGTTCCCTTTATGCTAGAAGCCTAGAACTTATTAGCAGTGATTCGAGCCGGACCTTATATGGCAGTGCCACAATAGATGTTTCTAACTTCTATCTATTGAATAGTTTAAAGGAGCTGGTCTTTCTCTCATTTCTGGCACATTCGCTTAGGGTCTGGACAGCCAGGCCGTCGGGATGTATTCAAATCAGTAACCCACATTTTTTTCCTTTTATTTGATGTGTCCAAATTTCCGATAGGGGTTGCTAATAATTTTCTTTATTTGTTACTTTGAGATAATCATTATTAGTATAACTTTTTGGTTCAAGTTCAAGCAGAACTCGTATTCATATAGTTGCTGGAGTGTTTATCTTTATGTCTTTATGAGCACGTGAGCATTGTCTTACACTCTTATAGTAATTCGTAAGTTTATCTTATTGTTAGTTTTTTTTTTTTGAAATATTTTTACAGCTCAACTACTTAAAAATGGAAGCCTATGAAAGGGATGCATTACCAATATTATCAGCTACAGATTTTAGAGATGAAGAAAATGATGGAATTCATTTCCGAAGACTTTCGTACAGGGCAAGGAGATCACTATCTATTCCTGCCAACTCCAGTGAGTCATATGGTACTGAAAGTAGTCGCATTGGATTTACTGGTCCAATGATAAATGAAAGGCATACTTCTTACATACAGATGAGTGGTCCATTGTATGTTGGGCACCCACCAAAGAGCAGCCTCAGGCCATGTCAAGTAGCATTAGGACTCAACTCAATCGGGACAGTTGAAACATATCCATCCTTTGCTAGAAGGGAACCAAATGGTCGCGAAGACTATGACTATGAACTGAAAAATGAACATCTTCTTAAATCGGGGCCACTGGGAGTATGCAATGACCAATACTGCACTACATGCCCAACTGTTGACATTTCTAAGGTGCAAGGGGGAAAGTCAAAATCATCACAGATATTTGATCACAGGGTATTTTGCCTTATCCTCACTTATTTACCTACTTAGATGAATGCTTTTTGTTATTCTTGTCGGTCAAGATTGTACCATACTTGGTTGTTATTCTTAAAGGACAAGGAGCTACATGTAATAGATGCATGGACGCATGGTATGTGCTATTAAAATGCAGATCTAGCTTTAATGATCTTAAACATTGTAAAGAGTATACTTTAAAGAATTTTGACAAATATAGTTTGTCTATTTTTCATCCTTGCTCTTACTGGAGAGTTTACCTCAAAGTGACAATTTACCTAAAGTACTCTAATTCTTTGTAGTTAATGTGACTGCATGCAGTTCCATAATATGATCTCTGAAGATGCAAAAGGTTGGGCAAAGAGAAGTTTTTCTTTCTTTTGGTCGTTTTTTCCTGGTGTCATAAACCCTCATGCTAAGGTGGTACAACGGTGGAACAAGTTCTTTGTGGTCTCTTGTTTACTTGCAGTTTCCATAGATCCACTGTTCTTCTTTTTGCTGACTGTCAATCAGGTATTCACTTAATTTTGGTCATTTCAAATACTTAGACAGATCTTGCACTTCAACTAAACTACATCCTCAATGCATTTAGAAATCTGTGTAGGCTTCTATTTTTATGAGGTGGTAAATGATATGTAGCTTTTATCTATTTTAGAGTATACGTAGTACTGTCTTTGTTAGCTTAGTTTCAAAAATATAAGTTAGAATTATACTACATTCCCTGCCCAGCTGTGAGATATGAATACTTTATATAGGATGTAGCATTTGTGTACTACATAATTTCATAGTTAAGTAAGGGTGGTTGATGATGCAAGCTTGTCCTGAATGGAAAATAGTGTTGCTGAAAACACTGCTTGAAATTTTGCTTTTATGAACACTGCTACTTATTTATGTCACAAGCAAATGAATCGAATGAATTATCAACACTAAAGCATGTGAATTAGTTATCATTAGAAGTCAATACCATAAGGCATTTATCACAATACTCTCTCTGTCCCATTTAAAGGCTCCCATATATTATTCACACAGTCAACATGGCTCTATTTTAATCTTTAATTTTATACTACGTATAAGTTGTCATTTTTTTTTCAATTCAGTAAAAGTATAGAACTTATAGCATACTTTCTAAATATGTAAGCTTTAATTATTGAACATAATATACATTTAATCAGGGAAGAGTTTACTTTATCATCAGTCAACCATCTTAAACCACACAAAAGACCTTGATATGAGATGTAGGGAGTACAAAATAAAAGCACCAATTTTTATCAATGCTTTCATTTTTGGACCACAAGAGATGCTAGAGTAAAAGGGTAAGACAAGAAGCGGCAGGTCGGACCAATTGATAGAGATTAAAGAGCCAAGGGTATATATAATCAAGAGGGAAGATATTTAATAAACTGACATCAAAATGAAGATAATACACATGTAGGAGTTATTGAGTTTAGCGAAAAAAACATGAAGTACCCAAAGGTATTCCCCAAAATATTAACCTGCCCAACAACCTAGGCTGCCCTATTCTAAAAAAGTCACAAATTCAATTCAATTTTTGATGCCTCCTACGCTAAAGGAGGCCTTTATTTATAATCTATGACAAAATTTAAATAAAATTAGAAATCAACTATTCCTGACATCAAGCTAATCATAATCTATTGCTAAGATCTTTCATTTAATGAAATATGATTCGGTATGATCCTTTGATTGATTCGTTGAATTTTGTCAATTGATTATCTGATTTCTTTCCTTCCGTAGAGGTTGGAGCATATGCCTATCATTTTCCTTGATTTCCTCTTCATCTATCATGCGCACAGTTTTATATATCTTGATCATTGACTTACCTGCCTTTCTTTTGTTGGTTTTGTATGTCATGAGTTGCCACCTTTAACCGTTCAAGATGTTTTTACTTTTTTCCCGAATGTAACTGTAGTTATGGTTTAGTAGTTTTGCAATGATAGCTACATTTCCAGTTTTTTATAACATGTTTATTGCTTCTCTAATGTTATATTAGTTGGGTATGTCTCGTGAATCACTAGTCTCATTTTTGTTATAGGATGACAAATGCATAGTACTTAACTGGGCACTGACAACTACAGTTGTGATTTGGAGGAGCTTGACTGATTTCATATACCTAATACACATGCTTCTTCAGGTGACTATTTTCTTCTTGCACTTAGACTCCTTTGAAGGACATCTTTGCTATTATAACGCTGAGACCTGATTTCTCTTCTCTTTACAGCATCTGCTGTTGCATAAGTGTATGGGTGTCAGTCTTACTTGAATTTACTTGACTGGGTTAGGTCTCTTTTGGTGGAAGTATGTCTCCTTCCATCCAACAGTTCAGGATTGTAACCCTGGCTTGCCCTAGCTGCAAGCATGCATGTGGCAGAAAATGACAATGGCATTACAGAATGAAACTTTTTTATGCCATGAAGAAAATGAGTGTCAGGACTATATGTCACTTCAACTGATTCTCAAATTCCAAATTATGTTTGCAGTTTCCTTGTTCAAGTTGCAAAATCATCATTATCATTATCAGCACCTTAATACTGACGACCCGGGGTTGGTGAAGTGAAATTTATAGTACCAATTAATTCTCTAACTTTAGTTAATATTATCATGCATAAACAAATAAAGCATTCTTCTGTTTGTGTTGTTGAAACAGATGTTTCTTATCTTTGTTTGTTTGTGGTTCCATTATTTCTTCATCTGGGAAAGTAACTACATGCGAACTTCATTATTTTGTGAACTGGACACATTTAGTTGGCTTCATTATGCCAATTATTACCTATCACATCTAACTCCAATTTTGCAGTTCCGGCTGGCTTATATTGCACCAGAATCCAGGGTTGTGGGATCGGGTGATTTAGTTGATCATCCCAAAAAGATCGCTGTCAATTATCTTAAAGGATATTTTTTGATTGATTTCCTTGTTGTCTTGCCATTGCCACAGGTAAAAATCACATACTTTGTTAAAGCAAGTTGTTTGCATTTAAACTTCCAGCAAATTGCAAGATTAAATTCCCAAAATAAGAGTAAAACATGGCCCAAATGAAAAAATAGGAGTTATCGTTTAAAATTCCCTAAATGGGAGTAATTATGTGTGTTTGGACAAAAATGCCCCTGTAGGGGTTCGGACTGCCACCAGGCTGCTGCTGCTGGACCACCAGCCGCCGCCAGTGCCCCCACCAACTAGGGGGGAATTAATTATATTAATTAATTTTATTAGGGATAGAAAGGTAATGTTTAGTCCTATTTAGAGAATGAAAACATTGAGTCCTATTTGTGCATTTATGTTTAGGTTTAGTCCTATTTAGGACAATTTCTCAATGCAATATATTGGTCAGAATTCTCTATTACATAATGTAGCACCACCGCATTGTGGTTATGCTTGCTCCACACACAAAAATACTGTACTATCTCTTCTTAGGGGAACTATACTAGTCAATGTGCACCTTTTTTAACAGAGCTATACTCATTTCACCTTAAGTATATGGTTTTGGTAAAAATGGATTATTTGTGAGATATTGATCTTCAGCATTTGCCACCACAGGTCATAATACTGCTGATTTTACCTGGCTCAATGGGATCATCTGGTGCAAATAATGCAAAAAACCTTTTACGTGCAGCGGTTCTGGTGCAGTATGTACCTAGACTGTGGCGGTTTCTTCCTGTTTTAAGAGGCCAGTCTCCAAGTGGCTTCATATTCGAGTCAGCATGGGCTAATTTCGTGTTAAATTTTCTAACATTTATGTTGTCAAGCCATGTGGTGGGATCATGTTGGTATCTTTTGGGCTTACAGGTAGGGAACTAATTTAGATGTTTTAGATTTTCATGACATAATTGTGCCGAGGTTTATGTTTGCTACTTGGATAACCCTACAGTTGCAATTTATATGCAATTTGTAAGATGGTATGTTGTCCTGATTTTTATGGTAATCTTTTAAACTGTCTCGAAAGAAACAGATCATAGAAAGAACGTCTTCACACTTCACAAATTATTAGTAAATACTATTATTTTTGTTATCTCTGACATGAATAACAAGGACAAAAGTTTTCTAGCCTGTGAAAGCATACAAGGCTAATTTATTATACAGAAAAATTATCTTATAATCACATGTGGTGCAAACCATGTAATAAGAAGTTAGTTTTAAGATAAGAAATTTAGAATATATCTTCAAAGTATAGGACTTGGCTCTGCCCTTACTTTTCTTGTTCCTCCTCCAGAGAGTGAATCAATGTCTTCGTGAAGCCTGTCATAACTCTCAAATTGTAAGGTGCAAGGAATTCATTGACTGTGGGCATGGTAGTGATTACAGTGATTTCTCATCAGATTCATTGTGGAATCAATGGAAGAATGATGGGAATGCAAGTGCTTGTTTTCGTACTGATGGTTTTGACTATGGAATATATGCCCAAGTCGTCCATCTCGCAACAAAGCATAGCTTAGTTAAGAGATATATGTACTCACTGTTCTGGGGCTTTCAGGTAGTCATAGTCAGGTAGTTCTGTTGTTATTTTTCTTGATCTGTGAATATCTCATAATGTTTATTGAATAAGTGAAGTTCTCCTAGCCCCTTATTAAAATATTATAACCCTCTGAGGTTGGTCAATTGGCTTGATCCCTAGAATTGAACAATGTGTGATGGCCACCTGAGTCCGATTCCCCAATAGGGACACTGGAGGATTTGACTGGCTGTTAACTTTAGGGCCTGCGGGGTCTTGGACACCGTGTTATAAAACAATGACTATTGTCTATGAAATCATTTTTTTATTGATTCATCAGCTTTGTACTTACCTGGAAAGAAATAACATGGTTTTTGTACTTAACATGTGAGAACAACTGTATTAGGAAAGTTCCAGGTGAAAGTTTTGCATTTAAGCCTCTACTCTGTCGGTCTGTCCGTTAACCTGGACGAATACTTGAAGCTTATTTCCAGGCACATTTCCATTGCAAAAGTAGAAAAGTTACTCGAAATGTATTTATACCATCAAATAGCTGAGTATGTTTTTCTCAATGAGATATAACTGCAGGAGAAGGTTTTGGAAAATGTGGGGAGGAAACTGTTGTAAAAGCACCTCAATTTTTCTATTTAAACATACTTTAGAAGTTAGAACCCTAAGTTTCATCTGAGGGGTTAAACTTAAGTCTCTAGTTGGCATTGGAAATATTTGGCTGATGCTATCATTTCTTTTGCTATTTTGATGACCACTGCACTTTTTCCGAATACATGTTGAATATCTACCTGATGTAATTATTTGTTGATGTTCAGCAAATAAGCACACTTGCTGGGAATCTAGTTCCGAGTTATTTTGAGTGGGAAGTTCTTTTCACTATGGCCATTATTGGACTGGGTCTCCTACTATTTGCTCTGCTCATTGGAAATATGCAAAACTTTTTACAGTCTCTTGGAAGCAGGTACTACTAAATTTTCTCTCTTATAAATTTCATCTTGGTGTGGTTTGGATAATAAGAGATCAGAACCAAAGCTTTCCAGTTTTTATATGGATATGTTTTTAGATTACATTATTTCAACAAAGACGCGTCCAAACTGGATAACATTGTGAAAAATTACCGTACTTTTTGTAATGTCACTAGTCAACTTAGAGCCTGTTGGGTAACAATAAAATTGGCTGAATTGTCTGGTTTTGCTGAAATTGATGAAGTTCTGATTGAAGTTTTTGAAATGGCTGAATCTGCTAAATTATGAAAAACTTATATTTAAAATATATTCATTAATAAAATAACAGGTTTTTTAAAAAATATTAAAGTAGCTACACATAATCACTTAAGTGTAAATATTGAATATAAGTTACTTCGTACTATTATAGTCATACACACAAGAGGTCACATTTTTGCAAACAACTTTTATTTTAATCATTAATATGTAATTATTTCATAAAGTAAAGAAAAAAATTATGAAAAATAGCTTAAATGATTGTCAATGCTTGTCAGAAAAGTAACTCCAACCTTGTTTAGGCAATGTTTGTCAATGCTTTATTAAAGCGCTTTTCAGCTTTTCAATTAAAAAAAGCTAAAAAGTGATTGCAAAGACAAATTTCTGCTTAATTTGAAGTGCTTTTAGCTAAAAAGGTGAAAGCAGCCGTACACATACTTTTAGGTTTTAATTGCTTTTAGGTAATTTTGTAAATAAGTTGAAGTTCGAGGATAATCTTATCGCGTGTTTTATTCGAACTTACCCCTTTTTGAATCTTCTCCCCATGCCGTCTTCATTGATCTCCTCAAGCATCACCATCGATCTCCTGAAGTCTCGTGAAGCCGATTCTCTTATTTTATTTTATTTTATTTTATTCTATTCATTTGATTTCATGGGGTTTTAGTTTTTATTCTCTCATTGGTTTCCAAATGGTTATTGCAGTTACTCAGAATGTGCACTACAACATCGATATATATATATATATACACACACACATACATACACACACACACACACATATATCTATATATATATTAATATAGAGAAATCATCTCATCAGGCCGGCCTGACGGGCTACCCCGTCTGGCCGAGCCCGTTTGGGCACCTTCCCGGTGGAATTTTTTGATGAAATTTTTTGAGCATGTTCCTCATCAAGTCTAGTTTGTCCATACCAAATTTCAGCTCAAAATTCGATCGGGAAAGTCGTCAAATGATTTTTGCAAGTTAACTGGTCCGGAATATGTATTTTCCGGACCAGTTAACTTGCAAAAATCATTTGACGACCTTCCCGGTGGAATTTTGAGCTGAAATTTGGTATGGACAAACTAGACTTGATGAGGAACATGCTCAAAAAATTTCATCAAAAAATTCCACCGGGAAGGTGCCCAAACGGGCTCGGCCGGACGGGGCAGCCCGTCAGGCCGGCCTGATGAGAAGAGCTCTCTATTAATATATACACACATACATACATACATACATACATACATACATACATACATACATACATACATACATACATACATACATACATACATACATACATACATACATACATACATACATACATACATACATACATACATACATACATACATACATACATACATACATACATACATACATACATACATACATACATACATACATACATACATACATACATACATACATACATACATACATACATACATACATACATACATACATACATACATACATACATACATACATACATACATACATACATACATACATACATACATACATACATACATACATACATACATACATACATACATACATACATACATACATACATACATACATACATACATACATACATACATACATACATACATACATACATACATACATACATACATACATACATACATACATACATACATACATACATACATACATACATACATACATACATACATACATACATACATACATACATACATACATACATACATACATACATACATACATACATACATACATACATACATACATACATACATACATACATACATACATACATACATACATACATACATACATACATACATACATACATACATACATACATACATACATACATACATACATACATACATACATACATACATACATACATACATACATACATACATACATACATACATACATACATACATACATACATACATACATACATACATACATACATACATACATACATACATACATACATACATACATACATACATACATACATACATACATACATACATACATACATACATACATACATACATACATACATACATACATACATACATACATACATACATACATACATACATACATACATACATACATACATACATACATACATACATACATACATACATACATACATACATACATACATACATACATACATACATACATACATACATACATACATACATACATACATACATACATACATACATACATACATACATACATACATACATACATACATACATACATACATACATACATACATACATACATACATACATACATACATACATACATACATACATACATACATACATACATACATATATATATATATATATATCGATGTTGTATATAGGGTAAGGTTCAAGTGAGAAGAACCCTTTAGGTGAGAAGTGAGAATGAATCTCAGCCATTGATTCGACTAAGTTGCAGTAAAAGACACTTCTTGATGCACTGAAATATGCAATCTAGCATGGTGGCATTTATGTAAATACTTCTGAAAAAATCCGTATTACACTTGTCTAGCGCAACATGAAGCTATTTCGGTGCAACGCCGTCAAATATTAGTGCAACATGAAACACTTTTAGTGCAACATTGCAAAAATTTAAATATTACTGCAACATAAAGCCATTTTTAGTGCAACTTCGTAAATCTAATGGCTGAGATTCATTCTCATTTCTCACATTGGATGCATTTCTCACTTGAACCAAAATCTATATATATATATATATATATATATATATATATATATGTATATATATATATATATGGAAGAGTTCAAATAAAAAGACCTCTTGCAAAGATATGCACTTTTGCATGTTTCGCTTGCACTTTTTCGTGTTTCTGTTGCACTTTTTCGCGGTGACGAAAAAGTGCAACATATTTACGAAAGTGCCACCGCGATTTTGGCCGAATTTTGTGCATTTTTTGGCTCATTTTGATCCATTGGATGTGGAAATAAATGCAAAAGATTCATTCTTACTTTGCATGGGAAGAGCTCTTTGTATTTGAACCATCCCCTATATATATATAATTATATATATATATATAGAGAGAGAGAGAAATGATCATGTCCAGTAGGATTGACAAGATCCGCCGTCCGAACGCCGCCGTTTAAGGCGTTTCCCGGTGGAATTTTTTGATGATATTTTTTTAGCATGTTCCTCATCAAGTCTAGTTTATCCTCAAAAAATTTCAGCTCAAATTTCAATCTAGAAAGGAGTCAAATAATTTTTTGAAAATTACTGCGTTTTATATGTATAATAATTTGGCGCAGTTATTTTCAACAAATTATTTGACTGTCTTCCCGGTCGAATTTTTAGCTGAACGTTTGTGTGGATAAACTAGACTTGATGAAGAACACATGCTCAAAAAATTTCATCAAAAAATTCCACCGGGAACTGCCCCAAACGGCGGCGTTGAGATGGCAGATCCTGACCATCCTGCTGGACAGGATCATTCCTATATATATATAGTGTATATATTTGGAAAGTGATGTTAAATATAATAATGATTACTTGATGAATGGTATGAGATCTTGGAGATACTCTTTGCATTGAAGTAGCAGTAAGTTACTTTGGTAAAGGAGGTAGACATGGCCGCGAATAACTCTTGAATTTGATCTTTGTTAATTGGAATCTACGTTGATTTTACGAAGTACGGAGTATATAACATGACCTTCTGTCTGTTTTTAGCTTGATAAGGGCCTTTTTGTATTTTCACAAAAATATTACATCACAATCACTTTTTTATCAAACACTTAGAACGTGTATCTATTATATCACAATCACTTTTTTACCAAACACTTGAACTTTTATTTATTACCAACCACTATTATACCAAATCACTTCTATTCCCGGCCCTAAGTGGTGATGGTAAATTGATGATTCCCGGCCCTAAGAAAATAAGGGAGAGGCGTGCTCAACGCATTACTCTACCAAGGGAGAGTACTTCTTTATCTTCATAGCTTGCACTCTTAATTTTTTCGTCCCCCAACCACAGCCGTAACATCCTCGGGCTTTGCTTCACAAAATATGCAATCACTCTGTATTATGTATCATGTAGTAGTGTAGATAAGATCGTATGGCTTCATTGTAGATAGACTTGTCCTTCATGCCTTCCCATTTATGATTCTTTGGACTTCTTGTTTGGAGATTAATATGGTATATTCTATGTAGGCAGTTGGAAATGTCACTGAGGCGCCGTGATGTTGAGAAGTGGATGAGCCATCGTCGCCTGCCGGAAGATTTAAGAAGGTACCTTCTAAAGTTTTCGGTGAAGCGGATCAAATGGTGTGCTTTGACTGAAAATGAATAGAATCTTCATCTTATCCTCCTTGTAGGCGGGTACGACTGTAACACCCCGGCCCCACCGGACCCGAGGTAGTTACTCCGGACCAATAGTACTGTCCCCACAAACCACCACGAGCCTTTACCGCGCACTTTGTCCTCACTCATGCACGCCCTGAGAAACTTCCCAGGGGGTCACCCATCCCAAGACTACTCCCGAGCAAGCACGCTTAACTTTGGAGTTCTTGGGTAATGAGCTCCCTTAAAAGGAGATGCACCTCTGTTGGTATGAGTAGTACTATTAATCCTCTTATATTAATCTCGGGTATTACAATCACCCCCACTTAGGATCGCAACGTCCTCGTTGCGCCCTTAAACCAATCTCAATCAAATCCCAGAAACTTTTCCCCTGCTAGGTGTCTGCCCGATATCCAACGGATCAGCACACTGTCGCAGGGTTGCTCTGATACCACCTGTAACACCCCGGTCCCGCAGGACCTGAGGTAGTTACTCAAGACCTCTAGTACTGTCCTCACAAACCGCCACTAGCCTTTTCCGCGCACTTTGTCCTCACTCGTGCGCGCCCTGAGAAACTTCCCAGGGGGTCACCCATCCCAAGACTACTCTTGTGCAAGCACGCTTAACTTTGGAGTTCTTGGTGATGAGCTCCCTTAAAAGGAGATGCATCTTGTTGGTATGAGTAGTACTATTAATCCGTTTATATTAAATCTCAAGTGTTACAAAAACAATATGGACACTTAACGTGAAACTTTCCCTTTTTATTACTGATAGAGAGCAGAGGGGGCTGTGCGGAAGAAGAGGGTCCGAGACCCAGGCCTCTGTTGGGCTACTGCAGGCAGGGACAGGTTTGAGCTCACCTTCGTGGGCTGGCTGCGGGCCATTTAATTAATTTTATTCTTTTATAATTTTCGTGATTGGTTTCCTATTTGGAGTTAATTAGGATTTCTATTATTTTATTTCTTATTTGGAGTTAATTAGGATTTCTATTATTTGTTTCCTATTTAGAGTTAATTAGGATTTCTATTATTTTTTTCCTATTTAGAGTTAATCAGGATTTCTATTATTCTATTTCCTATTTGGAATTGATTAGGATTTCTATGATTTCGTTTCCTAGTTTGGGAATTAGTAGATGGGTATCTAAACCCCTTGTTAGGGTTCATTCTTGCTTATCAGTTACTCCCTCCGTCCCACTAAGATTGTCCCATTTTACCTTTTCGGGACGTCCCACTAAGATTGTCCCATACCAAATTTGGTAAAGTTTGTGTGGCTCTAAATCATTCTTACTTTATTCTTACTTTATCAATTTAATACCAACCACACAAACCTACTTTTCTTAATAACTCTGTGCCACTTTCTCTTGGCCCAATCTTAGTGGGACGGAGGTAGTAATAAAATTGCTGGGCAACAGAATCTGCCGTTGATTATCATTTTCCATTCTCATCAATTACATTACAGCTACAACACCATAACATTACAAAAAAAACCTAACATTTTAAAAAAACATCACCTTATGTGTCATTTAGAACATCTCAATGCAAGCATTCTGATTGTATATTTTTTCCATGCTTCATTTAATTTTGTAAAAATGGTGTTTAAAACAAAGAATATTGTAGACTAGAAAAGGAACGGTTGAGTTGCTATGAAATAAAGCGTAAAATATATGGTAGAACCAAGGTCCACAATGCATCTCAGTCGATGATATAACAGTTCTAATTACGAAAGGTGGGGTGTTTTTTACATATAATAAATATAGAGCAATGTTGAACCACTAATAGTTGAGTTGCCACACATTTGCCACCGATGGAAATGTAACAGTAACAGTAACAGGCATACCTACGACCAAGAGACTGCAGAAAGTTTTGCATGTTTCCGATAAGCAGAGCAAAAAGTAGGAGACCCAGTGCAATAATGCCCATAGTGAAAAGAACTTCCCACTCAAAATAACTTGGAACCTGATTCCCAGCAAGTGTACTTATTTGCTGACCAAACAAAATATAATATCATATGAGAAAGAAATGAATTCACAGCTCACAAGTAAATTTATAATGAACTTTGTACACATTCAACCTCTATTCTAGATTGAACAACAACAGGCAACCTGATAAAGAGATGATGAACATACTATTCAATTCTATAGTATGTGGTAAGTAACACTTCATTTCACCGACAAAGATAATTATTTATAGCAAAATACAAAATGTAAGTGAAATACATGATAATTAGTAAAATTATCAATAAATACCTGGAAGCCCCAGAACAGGGAGTACACATATCTCGTAACTACATTGTTCTTTGTTGTAAGATTCACCGCTTGACCATAAATCCCATAATCAAAACCATCCTTGCTAAAACAAGCATTTGCATTCGCACTATTGTTCCACTCTCGCCATAACTTAAGTGATGAGAAATCTGTGTAATTATTGCTATACCCGCAGTCAATGAATTTCCTGCAACCCTCTATTTTAGAACCATGACAGGAGTTACGGAGACATCGATTCACCCTCTGGAGAAGGAAAAAAACAAGTGTAGAGCTAAGTCTGATGCTCTGAAGATGCATTTTAAAAATACAGTACAATTTTCAATTAATAAATTATTATAAGCATCACACGGGAATGTCAATGACTGCGAGTGCACCATAACAGTTTCATTTTTCTCTGGGCTCATCATATGTTTTCAATGAATACCAAAATTATGTGTTTGTGTATTCATATTGCAAATATCACCAGTAATTCGTCTTTTCAACACCCAGTTACTTTGGAGAAGGGTCATAGATCCTCATAAAGACAAGGAATTCTAATCATTTCAAAAGGAACTCATCAAAAATATCTAAGGTAACTCAAGTAGATGATCTGAAGTTCAGAGAAGTCATTCAACCAAATATCTGCACTTGTTTCCTACCTGTAAGCCAAGAAGATACCAACATGACCCCACCGCATGGCTAGCCAACACAAAAGTTAGAAGATTTATCACAAAGTTACCCCATGCCGACTCAAATATGAAGCCACTTGGAGACTGGCCTGCAAGTAAATGGAAGAAGCGGTACAATCTAGGTACATACTGAACAAAAATTGCTGCCAGTAAGAGGTTTTTTGCATAATTTGCACTAGATGATCCTCGTAGAAACAACAATACAATGATCTGCAGATGTGAAATACACAAAATTAGAAGCAAATAAAAGATAGATGCTTAGTTTTACCATGAAATAAGTCAGAGATTCAAGGTTAAAAAGGAATAACAAGCAACAATCTTATGTGGATTAGTGCGGAGTATAATTAAGCTAAACTAAGATACTCTAATCTTGCATTTAAGATGGAGCCAGGACAACCATAATGCAATCACAGAAATGTACATAATAGTGTTTCCCGAGTAGGGATTTGATGGAATCTGAAACACACACAGTTGACATTATCTAGATGAAAAAATGCCATCTTTATCCATTTAGTCATACCCTTACACACTTTTGGTCCTCTTATAACTGACCTCTCCATTTTAGCCCACCAGTTTTCCCGAAGTGGCTCTTTTAGTCCCCGGTTACCCTCAGAACCCCAATGTAGGACTAAAAGATTCACTTCAGGTAAAGGAAAACGGGAGGACTACAAATGGATATCTCAGTTATCTGATGACTAAAGACATATTGATGGTACAACTTGGAGACATTAGTGTCATTTCTCTACATAATATCTAACTCTGAAGTGACACAAATCAAGTAGGGTAGTTCTAAAGACAAAATTTAGATGTATATATATACAATAAGGTCATGTGATATCTAGAGCCCATCATTTTTAGTATTTTTTGGTACATGAAGTGGTAGGATAGGGTGTTAATGGAATGCCAGCGGTTGCCACCAGAGTCCAACTTAGAGGTTACATACGCCTGATATGTTACTTGTCTATACCCCCCCCCCCCCCTCCCAAGCCATTAGGTGGTATAGACTGAGACTCACAAGCCCTGGAGTAGGAGAATACTAGGAGATCTCCAGGAGAATCCTACCAATGAGGAACAATTGGAACAAATGAGTTAAAACCTGTGACCGAGGTCACAAGTCCTAGCTGGATCAATGCTACCAGCTGAGCCAACCACCCTTTGCATATATTATGATTCAAATATTTAAGAAACAGAGAACAAATGGTACCATATATTATGATTCAAATATTTAAGAAACAGAGAACAAATGGTACAAAACAGAAGATGCATGGAAAAGAATGGGCTGTTACACTTTTACCTGAGGAAATGGCAATACATCAAAGAAATCAAGAGAAAAACGTCCTTTGAGATAATGGAGAGCAATTTCCTTGGGGTGGTCAACTAAGTCACCTACTCCCATAACAGTAGATTCAGGAGCAATAAAAGCCAACCGGAACTGCATAATGGACATTAGATGTGATTGGGTAATAATTAGCATGATGAGGTCAACTGGATGTATCTAGTGCATGAAAATTCAGAATGCTTATGCACTCATTACATGTAGACATATAGTTAGTAATACTGAGCAACACATGGATACCAATCAAGTTCAAAAATGTTTTTCAAATAAATAACTATCAAGAGGAATTTAATTTCCTTATATGTTTATTTTTGGGATGTCGAACTGGAAGAAGAGAATCGACTTTACGTATGGAACTCTAAGGAAACCCATAGTTGTTGCAACTTTAACAGTTTAACCAACAATTGTTGAGAATAAAGGGGAACTATCCTCAACTTGTCGCGTAGCAAAAGCAAGGTCATCTACTTGCTGGTAGCTAAAGAAAGCAAGATGAGACAAGTCAATATCGCCATGCAAGAGGGGCCATGTCAGACTGTTAGAAAGTTGACTATTAGTTGTATGACCGTTAATAACCTTTTTGTGTATATAAGTGGGAAATAAGAGAAGGAATAGGTGGTAATTGTAATCTGCTTTCCCTCATTCTTGAAATCCATATATCAGCAATAAAATCTTCTTCTTCTTCTTGTTTGAATCCAATTCTTTTCTTTTGAATTCCTGCAATTAGATGATTTAACTTCTTGTTCACACCTGAGGTTATAACAATTGGTATCGAAGAGGTATCCTAGAACCAAACATTCCGCCCTTAATAATTGAAAGTTTCCTCTGTTCATCAATCATCATCCTGGCGAAGAAAATCACTGTAGCAGGCCTATTTGCAAAGATGGAAGACAAGTAAACGGATTGGAACACCAAATAGAGGAACAAACCTTACGAAATGAGCTAAAATTTGTCGAAGCGCACCAGAAACTGGATGCACTTCTTCTTTCGATGCAAAAGAAGAGTGAGGAAGAAGATATAACTTCCAACCAGTCTCGACAGGGCTGGTCACATCCAAATAGCTTTATGCCACACACTTCAGGAGGTAACCCTTCACGAGCTCTGGTGTTTACCCCTAAAATTGATTTAGCCTCTCTCTATATATGACTAACCACGCAGAATCTTGGGTTACCAGCTATCTTTCCATCCACAAACGGTAATACGGGGGCAATTTGTTGTGAATGTATGTGCCCGATTCGGTGATGAATTGGGAAGTAGTGCTGTAGAAGTTTTCAACAAACTACCACAACTGAACACTTTGGATGAGTATCTTGATAATTTTGAACATTGAAAAAGCTTGATGTTGCAAATGAATGACAGGCTGCCTGATGAGTTTTTCCTAAATAGCTTTATTGAAGGGTAGAAGTGTAGAACTCTACAACTAAGCATTTTGTTAAGGCTTTCAAGCCTAGAAAATATGTTGTGTGCTAAGGAATATGCCTGGCTGCAGAAGAATAGTCTAATGGCTCTCAAGAAGGCTAATAAACCTCTATGGGAAAAAGAAGTGCCTAATAGTATGCCAACTCCTCTGGGTTCTAGCCATAAGTCTAGTCCACTTGTTGAATATAAACCCTCTGGTTTACTTCCAAAACCCCAGTTGCCATCCAATAAAGCCCTGTCCATACTTGGTAAAAGAACTTCAGTGCCATCTGATATTAAAGAGAGAAGGAAGAAAACCTATGCCTTCATTGTGATGAGCACTACTACCCCGGGCACAAATGCAAGGCACAATTATACAGAATAAAGATCATTCTTATAGAGGAAAATGAAAATGAAGAAGAGCATTGGGCATAACGCTTGGATGTTGTTGTTGATACATGGATTGATTAATGTTAGCTCACCCCAAAAGTTTTTGGGAATAAGGCTTGGGTGTTGTTGTTGTTGATTGTCTATTATGAACTAACTGCAAGCAATTATACATTCACATATGTTAAATGATTATTATCCATCATATTATATATATATATAGGGTGCGGTTCCAATGAGAACAATGCTTAACGTGAGAACACTCACATTTAAATAAATGTGATGCACAATGGAGCTTTTATGTTGCACATTTTCAGTTTGCTCAAATTAAGCCTATATTAAATAAACAAGGTGGCATTTTGGTAATTATTGTGAAAATGCAAAAAAGTGCAATATACAAGCTTCATTGTGCAACACGTTGGGGTAAATGTGGTGTTCTCACGTTCTCACGTTAAGCATTGTTCTCATTTGATCTTTATTCTATATATTCTATATATATATATATATATATATATATATATATATATATTTGGTTCAGGTGAGAAATGCATCTAATGTGAGAAATGAGAATGAATTTCAACCATTGGATTTACGAAGTTGCACTAAAATTGGCTTTATGTTGCAGTAATATTTAAATTTTGCACATGTTGCACTAAAACGGTTTCATGTTGCACTAATATTTGACGGCGTTGCACCGAAATAGCTTCATGTTGCACTAGACACGTGCAATACGGATTTTTCAGAAGTATTTACAGAAATGCCACCGTGCTAGATTGCATATTTCAGTGCATCATGAAGTGTCTTTTACTGCAACTTAGTCGAATCCAATGGCTGAGATTCATTCTCATTTCTCACCCAAAGGGTTCTTCTCACTTTTGTCCATATTTGTTTTACACCATTTTGTAAGATACATTTTACGTTTTGGTTTGTCTAAAAAATATGAGTATTTTGCTAAATTAATTTTACTAACTTTTTATTTTCTTAATTTATCTTGTTATCTATAATTTCACCTTTTACATTTTATAAACTCATACGTCTTTTTCTTACTTTGTGGATGTTAAATTTGTGAATCAATCACTTTGTACTTTTCCGCGTCTAGTTCAAATGTATCTTACAATATGGGGGGAGGGAGCATGTGCTTAAGAAAAGTTGAAATTCAGTTTAAGCATTTTCTATGATAAACATAAGTGATTTTTAAAGGAAATATAAGTGTTTGTTATTGTGACAAATTAGTTAAGATATTAAAAAGAACAAAAAAATAACAATCAACGGTTTAACCAACGTTGCCCAGAATAATCAACGGAAGGATCCATTGCCCAAGCTAATTTAGCTTAACCAAATCTGAATTTTTATTGATGCTCGATTGAATAGCCCTACGTGGGTATAAACAATACTACAATATCCAAGTTCCAGAAGGAAACCAAATAAGCTATTTTATTGTACGTAGCCTATCCCATGGGAATTAGACCTACGCACAAAGTCTAATGGGAGGGAAATTACTTACGTACAAAGCCTAAGGATATTTTCTAATACGGCGTAAAAAATAGCAATAATAAAAGAACGAACATAATTGAAGCTAATTAAATAAAAAAACTCAACCCACATATAACCCAGCCCATAACCGGCCCACGGAAGTGGGCCCAAGCCCGGTCCCGCCCCATGCTCTTCCCGCTTCATATCAATCCATCCTCCTGCAAATTAACCTTGTCCTCAAGGTTGAAAACTCGCGGATCGGGAACTGAAATTTCCTTTCCTAGCCGGTTATTTCACAGAATTCATGCTGCTTGAGGTCCAACTCTTCATCCTCCTCAGAAACTGTTTAAAGGGACAATCATGCCCCGACGTAAATGGTTTCTTGCACCTAAAGCATAATCCTTTCGCCCACAATTCTACAAACTCTTTCGGCGGAAGTCGAGTGAACTGAGAGCGTGTCGTAGGCTGCCCGGACAGCCCTGACTTCGTCCCCGGAGGCTGTCCACTGTCTTTCGCAAAGCCGCCCTCCGAACCCTGTAAGCTGCCACCAATGGCAGTCAACGGGGAACCTGTATTTGCCATTAAAAGGCTGCTAGAACGTAACCCTGAAGAATGATAATTCAGGCTGCCACTTTCTCCACTTTGGACGAACAAATTATGCTCCACATCGCGAGCTAATTCCATAGCCATCTCCAGGTTGTTTGGCCAAAGTAATCGCAGCGAGCTTCAGATTGTTTCCTTAAGCCCACTCATGTAATAGTCCAAGTAATGGTCGTCAGTTAATCCCGGAACTTGGCTCGCTAGCTGAACAAACAAGATATTATATTCCTCCATAGACCCAGTTTGTTTGACCCCGGACAGTCGTTCAAATCTGTTCCCTTGATATCGGGAATCAGATCTGGCCACCAGGGCTTGTTTGAAATTCTTTAGAATGAACTCTCTAAGTTGGTTGCAGTCTCGGGTTTGCGTGATCTCAGTCAGGTTACCCAGTAGAGTGCTCCACCTTCCATGGCTACCACAACGGCAGCCACCTTCTTTCCGATAAGGTTTCGTGTAATTCGAACTGCTGCTCCACCCGAGCTATCCACCCGATCGGGTCTCCCCCATCGAATGCCGGTAGTAACGTTGGAGTTGGGTTGCGCAGCACTCCTTCGACCTGCGGCGCTGTTACCGTGATTCGTCCGACCCCAGCCGCGGTGGAATCCGGCGAAACGGGTGGCACCAGTGCCTGGGTCAACACGGCCAGCGAGGCGGCGATTTCCGTCAGCTTGGCACTGTGATCTGCCAGCTCAACCCCCAACCGGGCCACCTCCTCTCTTGTACGAGTTTGTACGTTCTCTAGCTCTGTTAATCGATCATTCTGAGATCTCGTCATCTTGGCGGGACGGGATCCGGCAGGTTGGACCAATTGATAAGAACAAAAAATAACAATCAACGGGGTAAACAGTAAACTGTTGCCCAGAATAATCAACGGAAGGATCAGTTGCCCAAGCTAATTTAGCTTAACCAAATCTGAATTTTTATTGATGCTCGATTGAATAGCCCTACGTGGGTATAAATAATACTACAATATCCAAGTTCCAGAAGGAAACCAAATAAGCTATTTAATTGTACGTAGCCTATCCCATGGGAATTAGACCTGCGGACAAAGTTTAATGGGAGGGAAATTACTTACGTACAAAACCTAAGGATATTTTCTAATATGGAGTAAAAAATAGCAATAATAAAAGAACTAACATAATTGAAGCTAATTAAATAAAAAACTCAGCCCACAGATAACCCAACCCATAACCGGCCCACGGAAGTGGGCCCAAGCCCGGTCCCGCCCCATGCGCTTCCTGCTTCATATCAGATATACGGAGTAAGTTTTAGCACAAAATAAAATTCTATTCATAACAACTTTTTTTCTATATTTAGTTCTGCATTTTATAATGATGAAGTCTACTATTGGAGTCGTAAACTTATGGCAGGAGATTTAATTTAATTATATTGGGTTGGTACTATCTTTTGGCAATGTTAAGGTAGATTGTATATGCTACTTCCTTTGTTTAGGAAAACTACAAGATTTGATATGTTTTATTTTATTAATTTGCTTGGACTTGAACTTAGAATATTGTTATATTGGACTAAGTAGGTTTGATGTTCTTATTTTATTGCTTTACCTGTCCTAGAATGGCTATTCAATTTTAATTTTCTTGGTCGACACAATACCGTTTCTTATCTAACTTTGAGTATCGATTTATACATCATTTTTGAATTTGGTACAGTGTTTGCTATTCAATGAACATTTTAGACTGGTTTGTAGACATATACTCCCTCCGTCCCATTGGACTTTACCAACTTTCTATTTTTTTGTCCCAAAGACTTTGCCACCTTTCTTTTAAGGTAATGAGTTTGTGGTTCCTTATTTCTCTCTCCTCTGCACAATTCTCAACCGTTTTTTCTTTTCTTATTCCACAATCAAATTGAAGTCTGCAATGTTGACTGGGACGGACTGTCGGAGGGATTAAGTTTTTATTACTACCACTAACTTAAAAGTTGTTAGGAAAGGATTAATTTTATTCTTAGTTAACCTCGTAAACTAATTTCATAAATTAATTTGAGACAGTAGAAGTATATTACTTTATTTCTTGGAGTTGTGTATAATTAAAGACTAATAAAGCTGTAATGTAAGAAAAAATTAATTTTGAAAATTTATGATTTTTTTGTATCATATTTTCATAACCTATGCACTCAATGTAAACACAATGTATTAATGCATATAACTCAGGTAATTAATTTGAAACATAGTTTACAATACGATTTTATGCATAGTGCAACCAATAAGCATGTTATGGAGATGTCAGATGTATTAATTTAATTAAATAATGTAGTGTAAAGGTACAAATCATTGTTATATTGCATAAGCATTTGTATCATTTAAGGAATATACTAATGATTGTAAATTAATGTTAATAGTTATTGTTAGAAAGTCGATAAGAGAGTGAGACATTAGCCTTTCACACCTCAGTTTTACTATATAAAACAATAGATAAATTGTTAAGTTCACTTATAAATTATCCAAACCTAAAAGATAATAAAATAATAACCACAATATACGACTAAATAATTTACTGAGTATGCACTGAGTGGAGTACGTGAATTCATTAACTACAATTGAGTATGTGACCATTAGGCAGATGTGCTCCAATTATATTAATATTACGCCTTCCGTCTCATTTTACCTATCTTACTTTCCTGTATGGGTTGCCCTAACATACGTGTCACATTTCCTTTTTTGGAAACTATGTGGTCCACAACATTTCACTTTATCATATTCAAAGCTCAACCACAACTTTTACATTTTCAGCAACTTTATGAATAGTTGTGGCAAACCAAAACATGACACATAATATTTTCTGGACATTCCGTTTTCGAGGGCCCTGTGCGGCTGGGCTCTCCACACTTGCTCCGGGCCAGCCCTATATTATATCCCATATTCTCCTTACCTCATCTTTACTTGGACGAAATGCCCTTGTACTGAGATTATAGGGGCAATGTATTCAGAATTAGAGACATTCCATCTGACCTTCTCTACTCAATAACATTCTTCTTTCTACTTTACTATTTTAATATTTTCATTCGTTAGCCAAGCACTTTCTGCACAAGAATCCTGAACTGTTAGATGGAATGTTTTAAGATCTCCATGAAACCCCTAAAATCAATTAAACAAATTCCAGCGAGAAATATAATAACCATAAACATGCAACATCAGCTGCTATAAACAGAGATATAAGCAGGTAAATGTCTGCTTCTTTTTGTTTAGTTAAAGAAGCAGGTAGGCAGCACTACAAGTCTACAATAGCAAAATGTTTGACAAATACATCTTGAATTAGGAGAGTTCACCTGAAGAAGCATGTGAATCAAGTATATGAAATCAGTCAAGCTCCTCAAAACCACAATCGCGTTCATTAGACGCCAGTTAAATATTATGCATTTTTGCTCCTAGAATCAAGAGGTGAGAAAGCCAATTCCCAAAAAGAAGCTCAATTGATGAACCATTAGGAAATTATGAAAGAAAGTTAAGCAGAATAGAGTAGATATCATAAAGCATGAGAGTATATAATAAACGAACGGAAAGGTAACAAAATCAATACTAGTGTTGAATTTTGATTGATCAAAGGAGACAGATTAAAACATCTGAAACACAATGTATTTATTACCTGCTTCACAGATAGCAAAAAGAAGAAGAGTGGATCTATGAAAATAGCAAATAAGCAAGAGACAGCAAAGAATTTGTTCCACCGCTGCACCGCCGTAGTATGTGGATTCATGACACCTGGAATGCATGAACACATAAAAGAAGAAATTTTCTTCGCACAACCTCTTGCATCTCCGTATACCATATTATGGGACTGCACATTGACATTGAATGCAACGATTAGGCACTTAGGTAACTTGGTACTATGATTAACACAGGTCCAGTTGAAGGATAATAGTAAAGGGGGACATGCTGAGCAGCACTTGATGAGACTGTTGACTATACTCCTAATAATGATACTAAAAGGAAACCCTTCCACTCATAGCCGCAAACCTTGTGATCAGATGTCTCTGGTGATTTTGACTTTTTATTCTGCGCCTTTAAGTTGTCAATAGTTGGGCATGTTGTGCAATATGGATCATTGCACATTCCAAGTTTCCCTGATCTCAACAGATGTTGATTTTTCGGTGAATAATCATTATCTGTCCAGTCGTTTGATTCCCTTTCAGAAAAAGAAGGATATTTTTCCATTTCCATCCGTGATTTGAGTCCTGGTGCTACTTGAGATGGCCTAGTTTTGCTGTTTTCGGGCTTGCGGGCAAGATGCAATGGACCACTCATCTGTATGGCAGAAGTCCGCCTTTCACTTGTCAAGGGACCAGTATACCCAACAAAAGCATTATCAGTCTGATATGACTCCATGAAGTTTACAGGGATGGATAATGATGCACTCCTTGCCCTGTATGAAAACCTCTCATACCGAGAGGCATCATCAATTTCATCACTTTGATATGTGGCTGACAACATTGGTGTGACATCATTTTGAGAAGCATCCATTTCTAAAGTAGTTGAGCTGTAAAGAATTTTAGAAGGAAATGGAATTTACAATTTGCTGAAGTAAATGGAACATAGAAGCATCATTATAGTACTGCAATATGGTGTCCAGTTCATATCATAGCAGAACATGTTTTGACTAAAATATCATATTTTCTGAATATGCACCAAGAGAACAGATAAGGCGAAAAGTACATTAAACATATATATTTTAGATTACTTCAGTGACTCTCTTTGTGTAAGGCTTTCATCTTAATGGAGCCCCAGTTCCATGTTGCATAACAAATTACATTGTGAAAAGTTCAGGTATAAAAACAACCCCAAAACCAAGTAAAAAAAACATTCAATGCTCACTCCTGTAATGTTTTCTCATGGTCTTGTAAATTGTAATACTTCCCGTTTTCAATCATTAAAGGGAAAACCCAAAAGATTCATTTATTTACCCCAAAACTACCACTGTAAACAAAAACAGGGTCCATAAAATGCTGTTGACATTGCTTCTCAGAACCTCTGCCCTCTGCGGCAGTGGGAGAGCCAGTCTTGTGTTGCTAGGGGGCAGAGGCCGCAAAATTTTATATTGGGGCTAAAACTCAAAATTTCAACATATCTTTTTAGATTATAAATATTTATGCGCGCGCGCGCACACACATATATATATACATCGGACATGAATGCCCCTCCAATCCCTCCCAGTCTCCACCACTTCTCTGGAGCTCCCAATGATTATTCTCGGTGACCTCAAGAAGAGACTAAACAGTAAACACTAATAAATTTCAAATTTTACCTAAACAAACGTACAAATAGTATGAGCAACTGGCAAGTGTATGTGCTCGATCACTCCTCAAATTCCAATTCTCAAACAATACATACACAAATTTGAATTTGAACTGATGACATTGTTTTTCAAAAGAAGTTTGCAGTAGAATTATGAGCGAAAGATTCAGTAGAGCATTTGGAAGGAAAATAAAAGACTATAAATAGAAGAGTCAATTCGCTGCAACAGATAGGAAGGAAGGTATAGATAGCAGTGGTTCAGAAGCCTTAAAACCTGAGAGTTGAATGAGCAAAAAAGAAGACATGACGTCTGGACCATGACTGGCCGCTGAATATGCAGAGCAAAGACTTGAGGCATGAAATTGGTTGACTCCGTCAGAGCTGGCCGGCTGGGCGGCCAACCCGCAAATGGACAAAATTTGTTAGGGAGAAAGTTCTCCATAATTAAATATGAACTACCAATCTACCACCGAGCAGAGACACAGTTTCCCAGTGTCCCTTTTGTTTTTGTGAGTGGTCGGTATAAATCCTAACCGTTCTCTTTTCAGGAAAATTACATTTCTATCCAAAACAGGGAAAAAGTACACATCTAACCAATTTGGTAATTGCTTGTGTAAACGGGATGTGTGATTTGTAAACAAAAAGAATTACCCCGGTTTTTATACATTTGGATAGAGTGAAGTTAAGTAAACTTAGTGCAATAAAGTAAACTTAAGTTTTAATAAAAATTAGGTTAACCTAAGTGAACCTAGGTTCATGCGTAAAATAGTGTATGGAAATAAATAAAGTGAACCTAGGTTAATGGAAAAATGTTGTTTGGATGAATGTACTCTAACTCATTTTATGTTAACCGAGAATTTAACCTCCAAAACCCCCTGTTTCGGAGGTTCTTCAATATAAGGTTTTTCTAGGTTCTCAAGAGTTAAGTGAGGTTAACCCATAACCTAGGTTCTTGTTGCAAAAATACAAACAAACGAGGTTACTTAAAAATTGAACCTACAATAACCTAGGTTAACCTCCAAAAAAACAGGCCATTAAAAACCGAAGTAAGCGGTACTCAACCCTATTACATTCCAGTTAAGTTACTGTTGATTCTAGCGATGTAGGGTTTCAAGCGCTGCCGTATGTGCGGATTCACCGGTTGTGTAATTGGTTTTGGTTTCGATCTGTTCCTTTGCCATTTCTTTGTTTTGATCTGCTGGCTGTTATTTTTTTAACGTTCAGGGGTAATCGATTTTATTGAGTTCGATTTAGTCGATTGCTTTGGGTTTCGATCTGTTCTATTCTCGTCGTTTGCTTCTCCGACAGCAGAAGGGTTTGCATCGTGGTTCTCCCAATGATCGACACAAAGCGAATTTGCTTAGGTTTTGGTTCCTAGTTCTTGTTTTTTCTGATTGTGTGTTGCTAGTGTATTCAACAACAGGCAGAATGGGAAAACATGAGGAGTTAGTTGATCGTCATGGTCATCTGCAATTGGAAACGGAAGATGACAAACTAGTGGATATATTGCTGCCAGATGAGAGCGGGAGGGAAGACATGGAAGGGGGACTATCCGAGTGGTCTCTAGTTGGTACTATTTTTACAGAGAAGAGAGTCAATTTTCTGGCGTTTAGGGACACAATGGCTTCTATTTGGAGACCGGGCAGAGGTGTATCAATCAAAGAAATAGGCGATAAGAGGTATATCTTCTCTTTTTATCATGAAATTGATATAAAGCGTGTTATAGAATATGGTCCATGATTGTATGATCAGAATCTTGTGGTGTTGCGTGAGCTCAAGCTTGATGAAGTGCCTTTGAAAGTTCCTCTATTTTTTTCGGATTTTTGGGTCCAAGTGCATTACTTGCCTATAGGTCACTTGACTCTAAGGGTTGCTAGAATCATTTGTAATTATCTTGGATGTTTCATTAAACTTGATGAAAATCAATTTGAGGGCATTGGAGGGCCTATTTGAGGATCCGGGTCCGTCTTGATATAAGGAAACCACTCAAGAAAATTTTAAGGTTCAAAAAATGAATAGGGATTGTCTATGGGTAGATCTGAGATATGAAAAACTTCCAAACTTCTGTTTTGCTTGTGGCTGTATTGGTCATGGAGATAAATTCTGTCCCCAAATTCAGAACATATAAGAGAATTCGGGTCGTGGATGAGAGCTAGTAGTGGGCGTACCAGTAGAAGGAAAGGTAGCAAGTGGCTTGTTAGTGAAAAAGCAAATTAAGCAGGGGTTTGGCACTGCCGTGGGAATGGAGATATCTACTCAGGCCATGGAGATTTTGGAGTTGGGTTCTAGTTCTTTTGTTTTTGCAGGTGAGATGAAGAATCCAGAGAGCCCGGATGAAGGAGTAAAGGTTGCTGAACAAAAACACCGTCGGGTGGAGTTGGAATCGTCATCTGCATGCATATTGATGGAGATTGAAACCTGTGGCAGAAAAAACGAGGTTGGGGCGAGCCCTGGACAACAGGCTTGCCCGATCAAGCTAGAATGCGGGGAGGAGGTGGACAGTCCAGCTCCACTAGATGATCTGATGCTGATTTCGGCTTTTTTAACTGAGAAACTTATTTACTCTTTTTGTCTTGCTATATTTATTTCCCACGTTCTAGATGTTGCTTTTGTTTTGGTTGTGCTGTGTTTTTCCAGCAAACAAACTTGTGAAACTAAAATAGGAGATGATGAGTCGTGTCAGCGACTTATATGGTTTCTACGGAGGTGATTAATTCAGAGTCTGGTCCTTGGGCGGACGGTAGACAGGAGACTTGTTGTCACTTTGTAACCTGTTTTGGTTTGGTCCGTTTGGTCGGTTTGGTTAAATTTCTAAAATATGGATAAATAAGGAGTCAAAGTAAGTATATTAATGATATAAAATTCAAAATGTTGCATCTTTTACGAACGAATGTACTACTTAGTATATTTCATCCCACTACATCTCTTGTTCACCAACAATTTTATAGTTCAAATATGCATTCATTCTTCCTTCAAATATCTAAATGTGTATGTTTATATAAATTATGTTATCCATTCCTTTTAGATAATTTATGTTATGTTTTGTAATAGATTGAAAGAATGCTACTTTTTAAAAGATAAGTAATGACTATAAAGTGTGCACATGACTATTTGGGGTATCATATTTGTGCAATTTTAAAACTTTATTAACTTGGTTTAAATCTTACCTCTTGTGGTGTAGAACTAATGATCAACGTAGAGCAAAGAAGAATGACGAGTTCTCTTATTATATTCAACAATTTGAAATTCTTTTGAAAAAATGGTCAGGAATAATCCCAACTATTATTGATTTGCTTAAAACAATTTAAAGTATTGATTATATCAAAATAATCCCGACTATTGAAAAATATTCTCAAAATGCTCCAATGACTCAAAATATTATTTCATTTAGGAGTTATTATAAGTCATTGGAGTATTTTGAGAAAGTTCTTCAATATATAGTTGGATTTTTTGGGAAATTGATACTTTGGATTATTTCTAGCAGATTACAAACAGTAGAGATTATTTTTGTCAATTTTTCATATTCTTTTTATATTTTCACTTTAATTTAATGAAGTTGATGTCTATTTGATATGTCAACATTTTGCTATACTTTTCTTGAGTTGTGCTCCACTATTTGAGTATTTGAACACTTAAATGATTAAATTGTGAACCTCTTAAATCTTTCTTGGCATTTCGTATGCTCTTTCTTTTATTTTTTGAAAATTGACAACACTCTTACATTTGACTGGTCTTCTCATAATAATTTCACATTTACATAATCCCAGAATGCACCTTGTCTTCTTTCATCGGACCTTGATCGGCTGATGACATAATATATCAGGTTTTTTGCATTTTCTTTGAAAACCTTATATAAAATTTGACCTTTCACAAATATGTTCAAAATAGTACCACGTTTCATTTTTCATCTTCTTATTATTTCATTTATTTAACCAGTTTATGTTTTTGTTTCCTTTTTCTCAGTATTTTTCTTATTTCTTCTTCCCCAATTTTATTTCTTTCCTTTTTATGTATTACTATTCAATTAATTATCTTTTAAAGAATAGTATCCCAATGGAGAAGCAACAATCTCAATCTTCGGAGAAACATCCCAAGTTATCACTGCATCTGACAGCTTTGACCCATCAGATGACTCATATTTCTCAGACGACTTTCTGGGGCATGCAACTGAAAGCGAGCATCGAACACCAATTTCTAGTCAAGACAACTTACAGAACTCCAACTTCAACAGGTCAATTTGCTTTAAGTCTCCGTTTATCACTCATGACACTAGCTTGCCAATAGACAATCTGAATACGCAACTAAAAGTTCACTGTAAATCCCAGAAAAACAAACAACGACATCTATAGCATGCAAACCATATCACAATCTAAGAAATTCCCATGGGCCTAGATCTTCTTATGTTCCATTTTTGCTTTTTTGCTTTTTTCTTTTTTTCTTTTTTGCCTTTATGTATTTTGTCTTTCCTTGCATTGTAATTTCTTCTCTTAATTCAATAAAATTTCCACTTTTGTAATAAAAAAGGACTATTATCCCACATTATTCGTTCTTATTTTATTCATTTTTATTTCAATTTTTCTTTTCTTTAAATTCTCCTTTTCTTCTTTCTCCCCTTCTCACTGTCCAAAAAAGTATTTGTTTTTTTCTTTGTCCCTTTTCACCACATCTATCTTTTTTTGCTTGTTTTTGACATGTACGCCAATATGTAATTTTCATTGCTTACATTTCCCCAATTGTTTTATTTTGCTTTAAATTTTATTTTTCCCTAATTCTCTTATCACAAAGATTTTTTTTCTCATAGTTGATGAAATTTATGAGTGAACTTACTTAGAAAAATACGGTGATGTAGAAAGAAGAAAACATATATTGATGGTGGAATTAAAGTAACAAGAAAAAAGAAAAGCAGAAAGAAGAAACACAAATAGAAAATAACAAGAAGAAAAAAGGGGAAAATGAAAATTGTTGGGATATTGGGCCGAAGCCCAATACCCGACCCAGAACAGCCAAGGGCCCAAGGAAAGGAGCAAGCCTAGAAGGAGCTCAAGACATGATTATGATATCCCGAACGGGGATTGGTCCATCAAGGGACACACTGATCGGCACATCTCGAACGGTGCAAATATCCGCCTTGGAACAAATAGCTAAGCACAACACTCGCCCATCGGCCTGTAGGGTCCAGTACCCGAACGGGAAGTCCGCAAGTGGCAAAGCTGCATTAAATGCTAGAGTATGATGCTAGCAAGTGGAGGCATGAGTGCTCAAGTGGCGAAGACACCAACCAACCGGGTTCGGCCATGTCATCATCCCACCTACCCGCTCTCTATTATAAATAGATGCATTAACTACATTGTAAGGGTTAGCATTTTGATACTTAGAGCCTTAGAGAGAATTGTCATTCCATTTCTTGTATTAGCTACTGTTCCGACGTGCCGATCGGGCAGTTCAAGTGTAATCAGTGAATTACTCAATACGAGATTGGCTTTCTGAGTTTACTGGATTCAGTCTTTTATATTTTATACACCTTTAACCAAAACCTACGTCCTTAATATCCAAAGTGTGTGTTGGGCTTTCGGATCTACGGGATTAAACTAAAAAGAAAATATATCATAAAGTAAAGTGAGAAAAAGGTTTTTAATAAAAAAGAAAATGATTAAGAAGATAAACACATAAAAAGGAAAATGAAATAAAAATACGGGAAGAAATAGAGCGAGAAATATATATAGAATAATAAATACTCCGTATGAAAAAGAAGCCAAATACCTTGTGGTCTGATACATCATTGTGGCACTCCCAAGGAGGAAATCATAGGTTCGAATTCCATCCCAGTTCAAGGATGTTTTAATTGGCATTAACATTGAGCAGATACTATATAGGTCAGAAAGAATTGGCCAAAAAATATGAAAAAGCAAAAAAACAAAAGGATGGGAAAAAGAATAATTAAGTGTATAGGGATAGAACTAAAGAAAGAAAAAAATTAGGATGAAAAAGGAAAAAATGAAACATGGTACTATTTCGAACAGATTTGTGAAAGATGAGATTATTTATGCAAAAGTGAGATTGTTTTGTGATTACGTAAATGTGAGATTACTATGAGAAAACTAATCAAATGTGAGATTATTGTTGTCAATTTTTTTTTTGTCAACAGTTCATGTGAACTTACCGGGATGATTTTTTTTACTCCAGAGGGTGTTTGGGGGTCCTGGAGTAAACTGGGTTGAAACTCACTCCATTGAGTTTCAAACCCGAGACTTCTCATAAGGGAGAGTGAGTCGGCGACAAGCTGAGCTGGACCGTTTCCTCAATAATTGCAAAGTTTGACATTTTGACATTAGTTTGACATTTTACCATACCGTTTTGTACCGTTTTAAAACGACATGGTACCGATCGAATGATTTCAACATTGCTTTATTAGTAAAAATAAAGAATACAAACAATCTAAAATAAACCTTTCTAGCCATTATACATCCAATATTACCATTTCACTATTAGCCAATTCAATCCACAAAATAAAAAAGTTGGTGCTTGATAAAATGTCACCAATGGGGATCCCAAATTCCCAATATTGACTGAATTTATTGACTTATGGAAAAACTATATTCAAAATGCATTATATTAATAAAATAAAGAAAAGTTATATGAAAAGTAGCCAAATGACCCTCCACATTACCTCCGTATTACACAATTCAATACAAAAAATCAAAAAATACATGTTTGATGAAGAAGTTGACCGATAAGACTAATAAGTCGAAAACAAAGGTCATCAAAGTGATCAAACGGGCTCTTAATCTAATTACCCGGAAACTTGATGTTTGTGACAGTTCTTGCATGGTTGAAACTTGAAAGAAAGATGTCAATTCTTGCTCTTCCTCTTGATGAAATCCAAGTATGTGAGACAGACAATTCCTTCTATCATGGATGAAGCTAACTCACACTATAAACGTTGTAAACTGTTAAAAAATTAGACTACGTACTTCTTCATTCTTATAATGAATGAAATATACCTGTGAAACAAATAGGCTCGAACTATGTCCATTTCTTCATGCAATGGTAGTCCTTTTAATGTACCGATACTGCAATACACCTTTAAACTACTGGCCTCTTGTTACTATTTTTTTGTCATTATTTTGCAGTTGAATTCGGGTACAGTCATGCAATAAGCATTGCTCCTATTTAATTTGAATACATACATATCCATAAGCTAGGATCAGAATGCTGTTCTAATATTACATCCCTAAACTGTGTTCTGGACTATAGACATCTGCTCGACTTAGACGCTTCTTCCTGTACCTCCACGCGACTTGGATGCACCTAGCAGCAAGGGCACGCCAATAGGGAGATTCAGACCTGCAATGTAAGGTGTCAGCAAATCATCAAGTAAATATGACCATCACCATGGAAAACAAGAAACTCAGCTCATATTCTCTGTATATTTATGAAAAGACCTTATGGCACTCTGAACGCGTGGGTTCCTCAAAAATCTTGCATAGAGAGAAATGACTTCGTGAAGGTCTGCTTCCCGCAATATAAATGCTTCAACATTAGTTAGGCACCTCACGACCCTGTTACTTATAAGCCTGTGTCCTGGAAACCTCATCTTTATTCCGTCTTGAATTTAAAAACAAAACGAAGTTAATTGTCAAATTCACACTACGTATATCTTTTCAAAAAAGATGCATAACCATTAGTATGGTCCCAATCGCCAATCAGCAAGGGTATTACGGTATTACCTTTATAGAGTACAACAACAACATCCAAACCGTATTCTCAAAAGATTCACAATATAGAGTATTACCTTTATATTAGGAGTATTACCTTTATATATAGAAGAATGCTCTAGGCACCATGTAAGGAGTTCTTCCCCACAAGCAACCCCTTCGCCCAATGGGGCCACATTTCCATCTTCTCCCGTGCTCTCCATTTTTCCCCGGATGATAAAAACCATCTTGTCAATAAGGCCACCGTTGTACAAAACAACGCTTCCTTCTATATATGTTGCTTGCCTTAATCTTTCACGTATGGCATCCAAAACTGGTTCTTCTAGAAGCGAAAGAATGCGGACCTGCAAGGAAACAACATATCCACGTTAAAGAAACCGTTGCATATTAGTAGGATTTGTAGTAACTTATGCATCATACCACTTATTCATGCAATTCCCACCAAACAAAACAAGATACGACATCCGCCAGATGAACCGCCACTAGATATATCTTCCAACTTTCCTTTTTCGTTTGTCCCAAAATAATTTTCTTTTTCCTTTATAAGCAAACAATTTGTGTTTCACGACATTTTTTATGCATTTTTACCTATTTCTCTCTCCTCTACACAACTCTCCACAACATAATATACACTTTCTTAATTCAGGGACAGAGACATTAGTAGTTAGAATTGTTTCGACCAGCAGGATTTGAATTAAAAATTTACTTTAGTATAATAACAAGAAGGCTTCAATTAGAGGCAGAGCATGTACTTGACACCAGGCTGGCCGGACTAGGATTTCCAATGAATGAAATATTGAAATGCATTGAGCAAAAACCAATCTAATATTTCATATATGTGTTCATCTAACATTTTTTACGGCTAACTTCTCATCTAATTAGAGAGGCCCCGGATGTGACTGGCCCCGCTAAGGCCTGCTACCCCTTCACAAGGGACGACTTAAATGACGTGAAAAAAGTAGTTTGATGGTGAGAATCACAATGACATATCCACATTTATATGGGAGCAAGGATTCAGGTTATGCTGAAGAGATAGATGAGCAATGCCCCAATGCCTATTAGCTCAAAGCTCACCTTCTTGATAAATTTACAGAGATGCCTCCGTATATCTCTCTGTACATCTTCAGGGAGGTTCTCCAACAGCATTTCTTCATTCACCCCTCGGGTAGCTGCCCAAGTATAGCGTTCAGCTTGTCGTTGTAACACCCCGGTCCCGCAGGACCTGAGGTAGTTACTCAAGACCTCTAGTACTGTCCTCACAAACCGCCACTAGCCTTTTCCGCGCACTTTGTCCTCACTCGTGCGCGCCCTGAGAAACTTCCCAGGGGGTCACCCATCCCAAGACTACTCTTGTGCAAGCACGCTTAACTTTGGAGTTCTTGGTGATGAGCTCCCTTAAAAGGAGATGCATCTTGTTGGTATGAGTAGTACTATTAATCCGTTTATATTAAATCTCAAGTGTTACAATCACTCCCACTTAGGATCGCAACGTCCTCGTTGCGCCCTTAAACCAATCTCAATCATACCCCAGAATCTTTTCCCCTGCTAAGTGCCCGCCCGATATCCAACGGATCAACACACTGTCACAGGGTTGCTCTGATACCACCTGAAACACCCCGGCCCCACCGGACCCGAGGTAGTTACTTCGGACCAATAGTACTGTCCCCACAAACCACCACGAGCCTTTACCGCGCACTTTGTCCTCACTCATGCACGCCCTGAGAAACTTCCCAGGGGGTCACCCATCCCAAGACTACTCCCGAGCAAGCACGCTTAACTTTGGAGTTCTTGGGTAATGAGCTCCCTTAAAAGGAGATGCACCTCTGTTGGTATGAGTAGTACTATTAATCCTCTTATATTAATCTCGGGTATTACAATAGTTTTTCATATAATACTATATAAAAATACCACACTCCATAAAAATTCTCTTCTTCTTTGATTATCTCAAAAATCATTTCTTCTCTAACTTCCTAGTAATTTAGAAGGGCGGTGCTCAACCTTTCGACTGAGCCCGGTGGACCGTGGTTACGGACGGCCACCCCGAACAAGTGCCGGTACCACAACTGCTCTTGCGGAAACGAAACGACTACCTTAAGTGTGCACACCCCCAAAAAGGGATTCCAAGCCCTCCGAGTAGTAAGTCGTCACGAGTAATCGGGACTCAGTCTACCAACTACCCCTGAATAAGATATCTCTGAATGATTAGGGACTACTACTATAACTTCTTCTTAAAAGGGATCATAGATCCAAATGACACTTAAAACTTAAACTATACTTCTTAGTAGTAGCAGCCTTAATCACCCTCCACATTTATCCGGATGTGGAAAACCGACACCACGGATTTCTCCCGGGTGCTCACTTCTTATGAAAACGTACATTTTATCTTTAATTAAAGTATACTTCAAAAACATTTCTCAATCTCTTTAAAAAGTCTCGAAGGTATTTAAAATTTTTAATACCCCAAAAGTGCTTAATTTACATAATATCTCCCAAAATCACATACACAAAATTCACAATTCACACTTAATCACATAATGCATAATAAACATATAATACGAGGAAACAATTTTGGATTGACAGAGAAACTTACCTTAATCTTGATGCTACTAGTTCTCCTTCTCTATTCCGCTCTCTAAGTTATCACCTTTTTAATTAAGATGACAAAATTAGTCACTTATTCTATTCTTAATAATTTAACAGATTTCCCCCTTATCCTAACATTCGAATTTAGGTTATCAATTAATTATTAATTAACCACTTTCATGAATAACCGCTTTATTTTAGAAACCTCAAGTTAATGTATTAGTATCACTTAGTTCGGTCCAATGGTTAACTAGTCCATCTTTTAGCAATCATTATTTTATTTCAATCGAATTTATAAAAATGTAAATAAAAATGTAAATAGTCCATTAATCATCGGCCGAAATATCTCGTTTATTAACTTGATTAACTAAACAGTCTAGTAAGTGACAAATTAACGAAATAACATCATCTGCCTATAAACAATCTATTGAAAATTGAATTTCATTATTATTATCATTAGCATTATTATTTATTTACTAATTCATTCCTCTACTAATTAGCCCAGCAACATTTTAAATTACCAACACGATTGCAAAGTTTGAATAAACAGCAGGAGTACGATCTTCGTCTTCGCATGAGATGCCGGAAAAAGGAAAGAAAAACGCAGTCTTACCTCTTATGGACGACGGACGGTAGAAAGGTGGCGGTAAGGGAGTCTATTGGCGGTGGTATTCAGAGACAGCAATCCAGTCCGGTGGCGCAGCAGCTACAGCCCCTCCAGCGTGAAGGCAGTCCGGCCAACTCCGGCGAAGCGGTGATGCTGGACTCACTCTTCTCTCCACTCAAGGAAGAGATTCTTACACTCCTTTCTCTTCTTTTCTCTCGTAGACTCTCACGTAAGATGGGGTAAGAAATTAAGCCTCGTTTGTGAGTCCTATCAGTTGAGCGAAGACTGCTATTTATACTACTAGTTCGGAGTTTTTTTTTTTGGGCGCATGAACGTATCTTTTCATTAATAACCTTTCCATAGTTGGCTTCCGCTAAATAACACATGTGTACGACTCTAAATACGCATATAGTGCAAGTTTCCTTCTGTGTTCGTAATTGAAACTGGGCTTACGCCTAATAATAATATTATTATTATTAATTAAGCAGCTAATGATTACATATATATATATATATATCAGATTATGTTTGCCTTAAGTTTGTACCGATCGTACGAGTTGATATGGTATGTGTATAATTCGCATATCGTACATATATGTATATATAGTTAGTTATATTGTTTAAGAAAATCAATTTTTGTTATTACGAAGTATTAGTTTAGTGGTGAGTTCAAATTGTATTACGTATCTTTTTAACATGATTTTCACCATTATATCTATTTTAGTGCAGAATTTGGTTAAAATGTCACTTGTAAATTAACGATTTGTCTAATTTAACAACATTACATGATAAAAGAAAACGTCACTTTTATGTGACTAAACTAATCATCTTAATTAAAAGCATAACTCTTGACCTAAAATTATTTATTTATTAAAATATCTATTTTTTTTTTTTATTTTAAATTTTCGGAGTGTCACAGTTTTACATTATGTAAATAGGGAAAGTCTTTCAGATTTTGTAAACTTAGCCCCTTGATTGTTACTCTCTCCATCCCATAATGTACGATACATGTAGATTTGACACGGGTTAAAAATAATAAAGGATAAAATGATGGTTTTACGATTCTAACCTCCAACAAGTAAGAAAAAGTAGGATGTGTACACAAAAATTAAAGGATGAAATGATAGATAAAGGGATACAACAACAACATCCAAGTCTTATTCCCCAAAGATTTTGGGGTCGGCTCACATGAATCCATCCATGATATCGGTAAAAAAGATAAGAAAAATTAAAAAGATAAGGTAAGATAAAAAGGATAAGTTAAAGATAAATATAAAATAAAAGAACATAAGAAAGATAAAAAAAACATAAAAACATAAGAAAGATAAAGAAGATAAAAAGAAAAAGAACGATAGGTAAAGGGATGGAGGGAGTATAATTTAGAACAGTTAGTCCATTGTGAAAGTGTTCATATTTTTGGGTGAAGTTGGAAAATAACAAGTTAGTGGAGTTCAATTTAGGAAAGTGTTCATATTTTTGGGACAACACAAAAATGAAAGTGCATCTTACAAAATGGGACGGAGGGAGTATAATTTAGAACAATTAGTCCATTGTGCTAAATTATGTATGTATTTATGTTATGCACGCGCGCATACATGCATAGAGTGTAGTTCATACTGAGTGTGCTAGCAGCCTAGCAGTTGAATAGATTTGTTCATATGGTGTTATTGTAAATAGACTTATTCTATCAAGTTTCATGTATTAACTTATATGACACTTTGGACTTCTCATTTGTAGAATTATGTCATTTTCTCTAGGCAGTTAGACATGTCACTCAGGAAACGCGATGTTGAGCAGTGGATGAGCCACCGCTGCTTGCCAGTGGAACTCAGAAGGTATATCTTAGGTTTTCATTGAATCTTTCACCATTTGCACCATGGGTTTTTCTTTTTGTTTGTAATTATTAAGTGCATATATCTGAAACCTATTTTTATTCTATGACTACATTGAATTCCAAATATATTACTCCGTAGTATATTATTGGTAAGGAATATATTTGATGAGTTTGTGTCTGGTGTCTTAACATATTTTTTTATGGTTATTTTAATGCCTTCTCTTTAACCACTTCACTTCATTTTGCTTCTTTTAATTTGGTCATCTTGCAAGAATTAGGATGCCGACGGCATTGTGTGAATGACCATCTTTTTGTTTCATTTGTTTGAGTGAGTTATGGTTGATTCAAATGCATTTGCAACCCTCTTCAGTGACTGAAAATTCAGTATTTTTGCCTTCCATTTTAGGCGGATACGACAAGCCGAACGCTATACTTGGGCAGCGTCCCGAGGGGTCAATGAAGAAAAGCTTTTAGAGGATTTACCTGAAGATATCCAAAGAGATATACGGAGGCACCTTTTTAAATTTGTCAAGGAGGTGGGTTTTGAGTTAACAACAATCCTAGCCATTACAATACATTATTGACTTATGTGTGTGTGGGGTTGAATTTGCTTCATAAATAATGGCATTGTTGGTTGAACAGCCACATCGCTTTTCTTTTTCGCAAGGACTAGACTTTTTTAACTAATGTAAGCTATTAGAAATTAAGGTATCCAAATATTTAAGTTTGAAGGAGACAATAAATCCACCAATTTATGTACTGGTGACTCGTAGTTTGAAGTAATGCAGACTATATGGATTCTGTGTTGATTTGCAGGTCCGCATTTTTGCAGTTTTAGATGATACAGTTTTAGACTCCATTCGCGAAAGGTTAAGACATAAGACATACATAAAAGGAAGCATTGTTTTACACCAAGGTGGTCTTATTAACAAGATGGTTTACATAATCCGGGGAACGATGAAAAGCACAGGAGAGGACGGAAATGAGGCCCTGTTGTATAAAGGCATTGCTTGTGGGGAAGAACTCCTCACTTGGTGCCTAGAACATTCTTCTGCGAGTAAAGGTAGATCTAAAATTCTTTTGAGGAACGTAATATTTTGAGAAATATTACATTTCGTTTCATGTAGATGTTTTTATTTTGTCCTTGGAGGCATAACTCTTAACTCTGTACTTCCAGGTGAGCTTATCCAATATCCACTTGTTACACTTTATGTCCTTTTGAAGTGTTAAGACACGGGGTTCCGTCCTAAAAGGTCAACCTTATAGGAGGAGTAACCCAAAGCCTTATATAGTGTTTAATTGTTTTATAGCTTTCCGGTGTGGGACAAATACTTCAACACGCCCCCTCAGTCCGAACCGGACTGGACAATATCGGGGTGTGTAAACGGGCCAAACAGACCCTTAACAAGCTACCCGTAATCATGGATGCTAAACAAGCAGTCAAACCACAACCGGAATTGGCTCTGATATCATGTTATCAGAATTAAGCATATAATAGTAATGAGAATGGAAGAATTTTCTGTGTATTTCATTGGAGGGATAAGTCCCTATATATATACATTACAAAGATAGAATATTCCTATAAGATGCTATGCAATAATAATATCTTAGAGTATATTCCTAAAATATTCTAAAGCATATTCTAAAGATAGAAGAATATTCTAAAGCATATTATACAGCATATTCCAATGTCTTTCACACTCCCCCTCAAGTTGGAGCATAGATATTTATCATGCCCAACTTGTTACATAAATAACCAACACGAATTCCATTTAGTGCTTTAGTGAACAAGTCTCCAAGTTGCTCTCCCGTCTTCACATATCCTGTAGAGATCAATCCTTGTTGTATCTTTTCTCGAACAAAGTGACAATCGACCTCAATATGTTTTGTTCTCTCATGAAACACTGGGTTGTTGGCAATGTGTATAGCAGCCTGGTTATCACACCAGAGTTTAGCAGGCATTGGTGTCTTCAGTCCGATTTCACTCAATAGATGGTTTATCCAGATTATCTCACATGCCGATTGTGCCATAGCCCGATATTCCGATTCAGCACTCGAACGAGAAACCACATTCTGCTTCTTACTTTTCCAAGAGACGAGATTACCACCAACAAAGACGCAATAGCCAGATGTGGATCTTCTATCATCTTTAGATCCAGCCCCATCAGCATCTGCAAAGCATTCTATGCGCATGTGATTATGATTTTGATAAACAATACCTCGTCCTGGTGTCCCCTTCAAGTAACATAATATATGCTCTACAGCATTCCAATGATCAACTGTCGGAGATGACATATATTGACTTACTACACTCACTGAGTATGCAATATCTGGACGGGTAACTGCGAGATAATTAATCTTTCCAACCAACCTTCTATATCTTTCTGGATCTTCGAATGGTACGCCTTCATGAGTGAGCTGCACATTGGGAATCATGGGAGTATTGCTCGGTTTTGCCCCCAGTTTCCCTGTTTCAGTTAGCAAGTCAAGCACATATTTACGTTGAGATAGAAATATGCCTTTCTTGCTCCGTATAACCTCAATCCCCAAGAAGTATTTCAATGAGCCCAAATCTTTCGTCTGGAATTGACTATGAAGAAAATTCTTAAGAGCCAAAATACCTGCATTATCACTCCCTGTAATCACAATATCATCGACATACACCACAAGCAATGTGATACCTGCTTTTGTTCGTCTGTAAAATACAGAGTGATCTGATTTGCCCTTTATCATTCCAAATCGTTCAATTGATTGACTGAATTTCCCGAACCATGCACGGGGACTCTGTTTCAAACCATAAAGAGACTTGCGAAGTCGACACACTTTTCCATACTCCCCCTGAGCAACAAACCCTGGGTTGCTCAATATAAACTTCCTCTTGAAGATCACCGTGCAAGAATGCATTTTTAATGTCCAACTGATGTAAGTGCCAACCATTAGTTGCAGCGAGAGAAATAAGTAACCTGACAGATGTTAATTTAGCAACAGGAGAAAAAGTGTCCGAATAATCAACACCATAGGTTTGAGCATAACCCTTCGCTACTAATCGGGCTTTTAAACGAGCAACGGATCCGTCAGGGTTAACCTTTACAGCAAAGACCCACTTACATCCAATAGATTTCTTCCCTGTAGGCAAGTCTACCAAATCCCAAGTACCATTAAGATCCAAAGCATTCATTTCCTCTACCATGGCATGACGCCATTCAGGATGAGACAAAGCGTCTTTAACAGATTTGGGAACAGAAATAGAATCAATGGAAGCAATAAAAGAACATGAGGTAGATGATAACTGATTATACGACACAAATGAAGAAATAGGATGAGTACAAGACCGTGTACCTTTACGTAGTGCGATAGGGAGGTCAAGATCTGATGTAGAGGCAGGATCTGGAGATGCAAGTAGTGGTTCAGGACATGAGATCGAGACCGGATCAGTATCAGGATAAGTAACCACAGGTGGAGGGTGATCTTGTACTTTGTTTCGACGGGTGTAGACCAAGTGTACCGGGGGCCTAGGCTCAGGAAAAGTAACATGTGGAACAACGGCTGAAGCAGTGGACTCGAGTATAGTGACTGTGTAAATGAGTATATCATCATTCTCCCTACAAATATTTGTCTCTGTTGATGAAAACGGTGTATTTTCATAAAAGGAGACATCAATTGAAACAAGATATCGACTCGTACTTGGACAAAAACATCTGTAACCCTTTTGAACTCGAGAGTAGCCTAAGAAAATGCACTTTAATGACTTGGGATCTAACTTTGTTAAATGGGGATTAACATCTCGTACAAAACAAGTGCAACCAAATATTTTAGGAGGGATAGGAAAATTTTCATTATTTGGAAATAGGCACTGATATGGAGTTTTACCATCCAAAACAGTAGATGGCATTCTATTGATCAAAAAACATGCGGTAGACACAGCATCTGCCCAAAACTGTTTAGGCACATTCATTTGGAATAGAAGAGCCCGCGCAGTTTCTAATAGATATCTGTTCTTTCGTTCGGCAACTCCATTTTGTGGAGGTGTGTCTACACATGAAGTTTGATGAATGATGCCATGTTGAGCCATATACGACTTAAATGAGGAAGACAAATATTCTTGAGCATTGTCTCCCCTTAAAATACGAACAAGTACATTAAATTGAGTTTTAATTTCAGCACAAAAGGCACAGAAATGAGAAAATAACTCAGAATGACGTTTCATGAAATATATCCAAGTCATACGAGAATAATCATCAACAAAGGTAACAAAATACTTAACACCAGTTTTGGACACAGCAGGGCAAGCGCCCCAAACATCAGAATGAACAAGTTCAAAAGGAGCATGTGCTCGTTTATTGACTCGGGGACTTAAACTAGTTCGATGATGTTTTGCAAATTGACATGAATCACACTGTAAAGATGACACCTTATTAAATTGAGGATGAAGTTTCTTTAACAACGGGAGAGAGGGATGGCCTAGTCGATAATGAGCCTCTAACACAATTCCAACTCCAAGACATGAGATGGATTTGGGTAAGGATGTATCCAAGAGATAGAGACCAGCCGACTCATATCCTTTACCAATAACCCGATTCGTCACCAGATCCTGAAAAACACAATATCCAGGAAAAAAAGTTACAAAGCAATTAAGATTACGTGTGATTTTGCTGATCGAAATCAAATTAAAGGCAAAGTTTGGAAGACTTAGGACGGGTGACAAAGGTAAGGTAGGTGTTGGGACAATTGTACCCGTTCCAAGAACTGGTGACGTAGATCCGTCAGCCAAAGTAACACTAGAAGTATGAAGAGGTGTGTGGAATGAGGAAAAAAGACTAGGATTACCTGTCATATGATCTGTTGCCCCTGAATCGATAACCCATTTTGAGGATGAAGACACAAGACGTGTGTTTGGATTACCTGAATTAGCGACAGCTGAGATAGGAGTAGATGAATGCTTTAGAGTCTCTTGGTAGCAAAGAAATTTGGCGTATTCCTCAGAAGACATACTTATTGATCCATCAGAAGACTGTGTAACGGAAGCAATGTGAGCAACCTGATTTCCTTAATTTTTGAATTTTAATTTTCTACAATCTTTGATCAAGTGTCCAGGCTTTTTACAATAGTTGCATACTATGCCTTTGCCAGATGGACCAGCACGTGGATATTTCTCACCTCCTCTGGTGAATGTCGGAACTTGCCCTACAAATGCATTGCTTGACTGAGGTGCTAATGGTGTGGATGAAGTATCGGTGCGAAGCACTCTAGTGAAAGACTCTTGAAGAGAAGAGACCTCATCACTAGATAAGATATGTGATTTGGCTGTTTCAAATTCAGATGTTAGACCAGCCAAAAAACTCATCACTGCCATTTGTTCTCTTTGTTTCTGCTGCACTTTGATATCAGGACTAAATGGCATTAATGTATTCAGCTCTTCATAGGTTTTCTTGAAATCCATAAAATAAGCCGTGAGAGGCTTATCTTTCATTTCTGCTCTGTAAAAGGCTTTGCACACCTCATAGATGTGGTTAAGATTACCTTTTCCAGAATACATAAATTCCAAATAATCAAACAATTCTTTCACAGTATCGCAATGACTAACGTACCCCATTACCTCATTCTCCATTGAGTTTTGAATCTGGATAAATAATCTAGAATCGTCACGAAGCCAGGCAGTATTAGCAGCTCTATCAACCTCCTCCTTTGGCGGGTCATCAAGTAAGTGGGTATATTTATCAATGCTCCTTAAATAACGTTTGATAGTTTTACTCCATTCAAGATAATTGGAGCCACAAAGTTTATTCTCAGTAATTTTAAAATTAATGGGAATAACTTCAGAAACTATCAAAGGCTGACTTCGTGTTACTGCGGAGGTGTCAGTGTCAGAACCAGGCATTTTTTTTTCTGTTTTTTTTTTTTTTGAGACCGTAATAAAGTTTAAAATTGAGATATTTAATTTAATGAGAACTTACAGCAGCCCGTTTTGGGCTTGAGAACAAAAGATACAATCTGCTTGGGCTTTGACTGCTACTCCAGACATAAGTCAGATGCCAGACCCCAACGAATAATCAGCCACATGAAATAGTGTGTGTATGTCCACAGACTGAATGAGTAATTGTCGGAGTCGGAAATTCGCCGGGTAGATGGTCGGACCTGGCAGAGATTCTGAATAGAGAGGGCTAAAATAAATCTGTCCTGGGAGACAGAATGGTGCCTAGAGGTTCTGAAGAATCTGAACTGAACTCAGGTTTCTTTGAGGAAGAACCCAGTATGAAAAACTAAGCTAAAATCTAAAAGAAAAGGAACTAAACTGAAATGGAGTCTCTGATACCATGTTACGACCCGGGGTTCCGTCCTAAAAGGTCAACCTTATAGGAGGAGTAACCCAAAGCCTTATATAGTGTTTAATTGTTTTATAGCTTTCCGGTGTGGGACAAATACTTCAACATGAAGATTGAGTTGAAACAGAATAAACCTAGAATGCCTTGAATGGTAGTTTTTTTTTTTGTGATGTGTGACATAGAAATTAGGTCATACTTCATGAGAAATTAGAAGGGAGAAAACACAATAACTGAGGAGATAAGGTTGAGTCTTGGTTGTCCATGCTTCCCTATAGTGTAAAACTTGTATGATTGATAGAATAACTGTATTAAATTATTGATGGTGTTAATATTCAATAGAATAGTAGAATACATTAAGAGGTTTATAAGATCTAAATATATACTCCCATTGTCCCTACTTTGTCTGGTTTGACGGGTATGTGGAATAATAAAGTAAAAACTATGTGATTGATGTTTGTGCAAAAGAGAGAGAAATAACAATAATCTCAAATGAATTGCTTATAATCCGACGAGGCAACTAAAGCATTTAGCAAACCAGAGTTGTAACTTGGATCTCTAGAATCCGCCCACTTAAACAGCTTAGGTGAAGGACTGGTGCTTGACTAGCGTCTAGCAATTTTTATAACATTGGTATATATATCATAGTAATAGACATCATATTTGAGTCGAGGCAACAGCTTGAGCACGATTTAGGAATAAACTTAAACAATGTGTACAATCATTAATTTGTTTATATCATTTTCTTTCATCTAGATGCAAGAAATATGAGGGTTCCAGGACACCGGCAGATTAGTAATAGGGTTGTGCAGTGCCAAACTAATGTTGAAGCATTTATATTGCGAGCAACAGATCTTGAAGAGGTCACTGCTGTGTTTGCCAGATTTTTTAGGAGCCCGCGTGTTCACGGTGCCATAAGCCCATAAGGTAATTCTTTTTCTTTCGTGATAGCAAATCCTCATTGCATCTTCTTTTTCGGCTTTAGTAATATAATACTACTATATTAATACTAACAAAATACATTTTCCGTCAACCTCTAGTAGGGATGTTTTCTTTTGGACTGTTTTCAGTCCCAGATCAGAGCAGACAAGACTTCTGTAGTTATAAAATACACAAAGACCATACATTTACCGGACCAAATAAGATCAGACCAGCAAATTTTAATCCAAAAAAAACATTTTAGATCTTGAGAGATTATTTATTTGTTACTACCTCATCCCACTAACATTGGGACATGAGGAGGTGGTGAAGTTATTAAGAAAGGGAATTTATGTGGTTGATAATGAATTGATAAAGTAAGAATGATTTAAGACCACACAAATTTTACCAAATTTGATCTGAGACAATCTTTGTGGGACGGACTAAAAAAGAAATATGGAACAATCATAATGGGACGAAGGAGTACTTAGAGCATCTCCAATGCTAGAATTTACACGGTACACATGTGGCATGAGAGTTAGCCACATAAATATTATCAAATAAATTATCTCTCTCCATATTTGAATGATTTTATATAGTTTTGGTAAGTTTTGCAATGTCAACCACAATGTCAACATCAAGACGGTCTTCTTGACATTGTGGAGAAAAACTTAACAAAATTGTATAAAACTATTCAGATAAGGAGAGAGATTATTTATTTACTAATATTTATGTGGTTATCTCTCATGCCACATGTGCACCGTGCACATTCTAGCATTGGAGATGCTCTTATGTATGTTCTCTCTCAAATGCCACTAGCTTGAGGAGTTGGAAGCTTGTTAATATTAATGTGCAAGACTAAGTAATGTTTGTTTAATGTAAACCTAGAAGTTCAAGAGGAAAGTTGGAACTTTTATTTTGTTAAGGACCACTTAAGGCTTAATTTGGGAGTTAGGAGGGAATTGAGAAATCGGATGGGAAGGGTATGAGGAGAACGGGAGGGAGGTTAGAGGCGGAAAAACGTCTATCTTGTTTGAATGTTGCAAATTTAGTTACACGGTTGTTGGAGCAGTTGAAGAGTTATAACTTAATAAGCTGATATGAAAGAATATGAGAGAATAGTATGCCTACTAATTTTTGGAGTCCGATGCTTTATTTACAGTATGTAATATTGCATGTACCGAGTTCTTTGGTAATGAGGATGTTTTCTTGTGGACTGACATTTGTTGGTCAGGTAAGGTAAATGTCATCTTTGTGTATTTATAACTATGGAAGTGTGGTCTCATCTGAGACTGAAAATAGTCCAAAAGATATCATCCTTACACCTTAACAAGAATGACGTTGGAGGGTTTGCATACAAAACTACACTTTCCCTCTCACCAGTTCACCGTGTGTGTGTGTGGGGGGAACCCGTGTGGGTGTGTGTCATTTTCATAATTGAATGCTTACAATTTTTATATGATTTCTTAATTTATTTGTTAGTTTTAACTTATGGTTAGTTTTTTTGTATTTAAATATTATATTTTGTAGGGTGCCATGAGGTAATTCTTTTTCTTTCATTATTACGTTTTGAATTATAACTTTTATGAAAAAATGACTAATATATGACTTACGTTTTGAATTATAACTTTTATGAAAAAATGACTAATATATGACTATAATAAAGACAACTGGTAAAATGTGATTCCTTTGACAAACTATAGTAATTTTTAGTGATTATTATGTTCAATTTTGCACAAGTGACTGAATGTATGCTCATAGTACGTAACTGTAGTCATTTTTTGCTTGCAAATTTATTTCACTATTTTAGGTAAAATCTTTACTTTTTTATTGTATTTTTTGGGTTATTAGAATTTTAGTTCTTTATTCCTACTCCACTTTATTAATACTATCTATTAATTTGTAGTTTTTAGCTTTTGTTAGATTATTTTGTAATTTATTTTTCTACATTTATTATTTGTTTTCTTTTGTTTTATTTACATTTTTGAAGGTTTAGAAAGTCGTTCCTTCCCATTTCAAAAATTCGAGAGGAAGAGAGGACCTCAAAATGGCCAAACCTCCACTCCCAAATTCAGACAGAAACCATCAAATCCTTTTTGATAGATTTTTGGGAAAATGGAAATTAATAATCCAACCTTTTAGCGGTCTTCTTTCAATAATCTCACCTTTGGATTATTCATGAATAATCCAATCTTTGCACCTCATCTTCATTCACTGGTCCCTGACCGGTTGATGACCTGCTATTCCAAGCTATTTTCTTATATTTGCAAAATATTATCTTTGTGAAAGATGAGATTTATGGTGTAATGCTTTGCAAAGATAAGAAAATAGCTTGGAATAGCAGGTCATCAACCGGTCAGGGACCAGTGAATGAAGATGAGGTGCAAAGGTTGGATTATTCATGAATAACCAAAAGGTTGGATTATTGTAAGAAGACCTCTAAAAGGTTGGATTATTAGTTTCCATTTTCCCTAGATTTTTTAGGTCATTCAACTCGTAATTAACGTTGCCATTTTTTGTCGGCCAAATATTGTTGTAAACATGATGCTTATTTGATTGAGAATTTTGATTACTGACATAATGCTACACTTTATTTCTGCAAGCATATCTTTCAATGTGTATTTTTGTATGCATAACGCTAAGCAAGTATGTGTCTCCTTATTAGCGAGCACTTGCAGCGAGACACATTCAAGTTGGATGGAGATATTGGAGGAAGCTAGTGTCAAACTCATGAAGACAACATCAATCAGAGAGTCATGCAAATAGTGTCGTCCCGCATTGCAATTCTCTCGTTAGATTGAACTATGCGAAAATGCAATTTTTTGTTGATTATTACAATGTATTACTCTCGAGTTAAGGTTCTCATTCTAAAATGACATATTTTTTTGATAATAACTGAATAAAATTGAGTTAGATTGAGAAGTAGTTTGAGAAGGTATATGATATAATGAGGTAATACTAGGGGTAGTTTGAGAAGGTATTTTTAATTGAACATCTTAGTTTTCACTTTCTTGATGAATAAAACACTTTCTCAATGAACAAAAGATAATATTTTCTAATTAATAATAAAGGAAAAGAATAAATGAAAACTTCTCTTCCATAAGCAGTTTGTAACCTAGCGCAGTCTAGGGTGGTTTGGTCCCGGCTGGCAGAATTTTGCCATTGTCTGGGGGTAGTTTTTGGCTGTTTTGCCGTAACTTGTTCGGTTTTTCTTTTTTGCTCTGTGATTTTGTATTAGCCTCATGAGTGTGGTGAGTTGGAACTGTAGAGGGTTGGGGAATTTGTACAAGTCCTAAGCGATCTCGTTAAGGAAAAGAGACCAACAATCCTTTTTCTCATGGAAACAAAAGCAGGGTTTTACTATGTGGTGGAAAGTGTAGGCTTAAGTGGAGGATTATTACTATGCTGGAAGGAAGAAATCGAAGTCAAGGTATTGGAATCCAATCAAAATTTTATAGATACTTTAGTCAAACTACAAGGAGAACCAGGGAGGTACACGGGGTATTATGGATGTCCAGAACGTGATAAACATAGGATGTCATGGAATATTCTTAAACGGCTGGCTAGGAATAAACCAGGATTCAACATTGTGGCTTGTAATGGGAGATTTCAACGACATCATGCATGCAAACGAGAAACGGGGTGGACTGCCACGAGAAGCATGGCTGATATGTGGATTTTGGGAGGCAGTTTGGAGCAACAGTTTGAGTGATTTCAATTTTGATGGGTACCAGTGGACTTGGGAACGAGGACGAGGGACTTCGGCATTGATAGAGGAAAAGCTTGATCGTATTTTAGTAAATGACGGATGGAGAAACATGTTTTGAGGGGCAAAGGCTGACATCACTGAAGGATTGTCCAGTGACCATCTTATGTTAATGATGTATGCTAAAATGGGGTGTGGGAGGAGGTACACCCGACCGTTTAAATTCGAGGATCTTTGGGTGAGAGAGGAGGAATGTAGAGAGGTTATTCTGAGAAGCTGGAGGTTCACAAGGGGTAGCAACCTATGGGGGAAGCTGGAGAATTGTGGTGAGGCTCTTAATAAATGGGGGAAGGAACGTAAACAAGGCTTCCGGACATGAATTGATATTTGCAAAAAAAGAATCAAGTGGTTGTGGAATGCAGGAGGGACTCAAGCGGAAGCTGAATTGCAGAGGGTAAGAGCCACCTTAGTTAACTTATTGGAGCAACAAAATGTGTTTTGGCGACAGCGTGCTAAAGAATTTTGGTTACGGGAGGGCGATGTGAACTCAAAATTCTTTCACAATTGCGTAAAATAGCGGAGACGCGGGAATACTATGTTGGGGTTGAGATCACCATAGGGATCATGAATTACGGATAGAGCGCAAATGGGCAATATTATTTCCGAGTATTTTGAATGTTTATTCTCTACTACAGGTACAATGTGTGAAGGGGTAAATATAGCCTCTGAAAGATGTGTTACAGAGAACCAAAACAGAAGCTTACTTCGGCCTATAACTCCCATAGAAGTTAAGAATGCAGTTCTTGCTATGCACCCAGATAAAGCTCCGGGACCGGATGGAATGAATCCGGGGTTTTTCAAAATTATTGGGACAGTGTAGGGGGGAGGTGGTCAATTTCTTTAAATCAGTATTCGAGTCAGGGAGAATTCCAGAGGTGATGAATCGGACGAATTTAGTCCTAATTCCCCAAAAAAAGACCGGGGGATATGGGGGATTGGAGACCTATAACACTTTGTAATGTGACGTATAAGATCTTCTCAAAGGTCTTAGCTAATAGGATGAAGGGTTTATTAAAGAATATTGTGGCGGAAAATCAAAGTTTGTTTGTACCGGGAAGGTCCATAATTGATAATCTTATGATAGCTTTTGAGACCCAACACTTTGTTCGCCGAAAGAGGAAAGGTAAGGAAGGTTTTGTTGCTTTAAAACTCGATATGAGCAAAACATATGATAGAGTCGAATGGCCCTTTTTGAAGGTGGTGATGGAGAAGATTGGTTTTGATGCTAGGTGGGTGTCGTTAATGATGGCTTGTGTCTCATTAGTGTCTTATAATATCTCTTTTGATGATTCAGTAATTGGTCTGATTATTCCACAACGAGGTCTTAGACAAGGGGATCCTTTGAGCCCATATTTATTCATTTTAGTGACAGAGGGTTTGAGTGCTCTGCTTAGACGACATGAGGGACTCGGAAATTTAAATGGGATAGTAGTGGCAAAGAAGGCTCCAAGAGTGTCTCACCTTCTCTTTGCCGACGATTGCTTTCTCTTCTTTAAAGCAAAACAGGGAGAGTGTGAGGTGATAAAAAATATTTTGGCCACTTATGAAGGATGTTCTGGGCAAAAGGTCAATTATAACAAATCTAGTGTGCAGTTTAGTCCTAATGTCCGAATAGAGGTCCAAAATGAGTTGTGTGCTATATTACAAGTTAACACGGAGGAGGTGCCCCGAAACTATCTAGGGCTGCCAGCTCTTGTTGGTAGAAATAAGAATGGGATTTTAAGCTATTTAAAGGAAAGAATAGTGAAGAGGCTAGATAGCTGGAATAACCGGTGGCTATCTAGGGCGGGTAGAGAAGTGCTTCTCAAAATGGTTATTCATGCAATGTCCTCGTATGTTATGAATGTTTTTTTGTTTCCGGATGAGCTTTGCATTGAAATAGAACGACTTATGAATGGGTATTGGTGGCGGGGAAATGATTTTACGGGGAAAGGGATTAGATGGATGAGGTGGATTTCTATGTGTTTACCAAAGGCTAAGGGAGGGTTGGGATTAAGAACGTTGAAAGAATTCAACATTGCGCTCGGCAAGCAAGCATGGAAGTTAATGACGGAACCAAAAACACTGGTTAGTCAAGTTTTCCAGGCCAAGTATTATCCAGGTACATCCTTTGGAGAGGCAATGATGGGGGCGAACCCATTGTTTGTTTGGCGTAGTATTTTAGCAGCCCAGAAACTTGTTAATGAGGGGACTCGTCGAAGGGTAGGCAATGGGCAGACTATTTCAGTATGGAAGGACGCTTGGTTGCCAATATCAGAATCTGGAAAAGTACAATCACCTAGACCCGAAGGAGTTGCAGACATGAACGTTGCTGCATTACTCTCTGAGACCGGCAGAGAGTGGAATACTCCCGGAGTAAAGAAAAGTTTCTCACAACAATAGAGTAGTATGATTCTGGCTATCCCATTAAGTATGTGGCCTATTGATGATGGCTTATGGTGGGTGGGTGAGCCGAAGGAGAGATATTTTTTGAGGAGCGGGTACAGAAGATTGCAGGACGAGATTCATCCGGAAGGTTGGCATGGGTGGTCAGATATGTGGAATTTTGAAATCCTACCAAAGGTTAAATTGGTGGGAGCTATCCCAACAGACCCAACGGCGGACAAACTGCGGCGTAGGAAAGTTGAGCTTCCAATTGAGTGTCAGGTATGTAAAGAAGGGGAGGAATCTGATTGTCGACTATTTTGGGAGTGCTCAATGGCGCAAGAAGTCGGGTAATTTTGGAATGTCCATTTCAGAAATGTGGCCGGGACTACTATTGTGGGTGAAGGACGTTTTCAGCAAGCTATCCGTGGAGGGAGGGTGTAAATTCATTATGTTGTTATGGAGTTTATGGAAAAATAGAAATGTGGTTGTTTGGAAAGGAAGGTACGAGTCTGCTATGGCTATGAAACATTCTGCAGAAGCTTTGCTTTTAGGATGGAGAGCTGCACAAATGAAAAGGCAGAAGGTAAATTCCCGGGCGCTAGTCCAGGGGTTGAAAAGTGGAAGAAACCAGCGGCGGATTGGGTAAAAATTAATGTTGATGCTTCAATCGGGAAAGATAATGGTCGGAGAGCATGGGGGTGGTTAGCCAGAGATGGTGACGGACGTTTTATTAAAGCTAGGATTAAGTAGGGGTGGGCAATTCGGTTTCGTTTCGGTTTATTCGGTTTGAGAGAATGTGTACTAAACTAAAACCATTTGTGTTTCAGTTTGGTTTCGGTTCGGTCCGGTTTACCAAAGTAAAACTTATTAGGTTCAATTTAGTTCGATTTAATTCGGTTTCTTATGTTTATTATTTTATTTGATCAAGTTATATATTCTACAATTAGAAAATGAAAGTAGTTGTCCATATCATCTTCTTTTATTTACTCTTTAAATAAAATGTAAAAGGAAATAAAATATAGAAAAAGAAATAATAAAATATTACTACATATAAATTAAAACTTCTAACATCTTCTCAATCATAAAAAAACTTCATTTCCAACAATAAATAAATATATACTGCGTAGTTGATTAGCATTTATAATATCACATAAAATATTCAAAGAAAACTAAATGAGTTAGTGATACAAATTAAATGTTGTAATATTCACAATTTTATTCAAATGAATCATGTAAAATATATAAATGCAATTTGCTAAGGTTATCGCCAAATATCTTTTCATATAGGTAGAGTACAAACATAACAAATACCTATATGTCGTATTAGCTAACTTTGTCATAATTAATGTATAAAATGTGCAACTTGCTATATCTCTATCGCTTTAGCATTAGAGATATTCTCTAATGCTAAATTTTTATTTTTCATGTCTAAATTATTTATTTATTTCCTAAAGATGAAGAGTAAAAAAAATACAAAGTATTTATATATATATATATATATATATATATATATATATAGAGTCCCGTTCCTATCAGGAGCTCCTGAAGAGAAGCCCCATGCGGACAAGCCCATCAGAGGGTCTTCCCGGTGGAATTTTTTGATGAAATTTTTTGAGCATGTTCCTCATCAAGTCTAGTTTGTCCATACCAAATTTCAGCTCAAAATTCGATCGGGAAGGCAGTCAAATAAATCCTGGAAACATACTGCACTTTATATGTGCGCAGAATGAGCCATAGTTTTCCAGGATTTATTTTACTGCCTTCCCGATCGAATTTTGAGCTGAAATTTGGTATGGACAAACTAGACTTGATGAGGAACATGCTCAGAAAATTTCATCAAAAA